CCACATTAGTAATAGCCAGTAACATTGCCCCCACATTAGTAATAATAGCCAGTAACATTGCCCCCAACATAGTAATAATAGCCAGTAACATTGCATTGCCCCGCTCCTCACCTGTTGTTGTAGATCCGCTCTATGGTAGGATCCACGAGCAGAGGGGGTGATGACGTCAGCGCGCACCGCCGGGTGTACTAAGATGGCCGACCGCTCCAGAGATAGGCCAAAGCCGCGGCCTTTCCTACGGCCGTGGCCGCGCCTCACGGATTCTCTCTCTATTCGTCGTATAAGACGCACCAACTTTCCCCCCCCAGTTTTGGGGAAGAAAAAGTGCGTCTTATACGGCGAAAAATACGGTATGTGTATATACAGTTGTGTTGAACAAAGCTCAAAATCCTTCTAATAGCTTTTATTTCCATACACACAAATGCATTGGGAACACTACACATTCTATTCCAAATTAAAACATGAAGAAAAATATATCAAGTTTGTGTTGTTCCTCTAAAAAAAATTGAAGAAAAAGTGAATATTAGACTGTTCAAAAAAATAGCAGTGTTTGTATTCTTCTTTACAAACTCAAACATTCACTATATAAACTGAAAAAATGTTTGAAGATTTTGCTTTCCTTTGAATAATTTAATGAATATTTAGTTGTATAAGCACTGTTTCTGAGAACTGCTGTACATCTGTGTTGCATGGAGTCAACCAACTTCTGGCACCTGTGATCAGGTATTCCAGCCCAGGATGATTGGACTACATTCCACAGTTCTTCTCTATTTCTTGGTTTTTGCCTCAGAAACTGCATTTTTGATGTCACCCCCACAAGTTTTCTATTGGATTAAGATCCGGGGATTGGGCTGGCCACTCCATAACCTCAATCTTGTTGGTCTGGAACCAAGATGTTGCACGTTTACTGGTGTTTTTGGGGTCGTTGTCTTGTTGGAACACCCATTTCAAGGGCATTTCCTCTTCAGCATAAGGCAGCATGACCTCTTCAAGAATTCTGATGTATTCAAACTGATCCATGATCCCTGGTATGTGATAAATAGGCCCAACACCGTAGTATGAGAAACATCCGCATATCATGATGCTTACGCAACCATGCTTCACTGTCTTCACAGTGTACTGTGGCTTGAATTCAGTGTTTGGGGGTCGTCTGACAAACTGTCTCCGGCCACTAGACCCAAAAAGAACAATCTTACTTTCATCAGTCCACAAAATGTTGCGCCATTTCTCTTTAGGCCAATGTGCTCTTTGGCAAATTGTAACCTCTTCAGCACGTCTTTTTTTTTCAACAGTGGGACTTTGCGGGGGCTTCTTGCAGATAGCTTGGCTTCACATAGGCGCCTTCTAATTGTAACAGTACTCACAGGTAACTTTAGACCACCTTTGATCTTCCTGGAGCTGATTGTTGGCTGAGTCCTTGCAATTTTGGCTATTCTTCTATCCATTCGAATGGTACATTTTTGCTTTCTTCCACGTCTTTCAGGTTTTGGTTGCCATTTTAAAGCATTTGCGATCATTTTAGCTGAGTAGCTTATCATTTTCTGTACTTCTTTATATGTTTTCCCCTCTTCAATCAACTTTTTAATCAAGGTACGCTGTTCTTCTGAACAATGTCTGGAACGACCCATTTTCCTCAGAATTTTAGAGAGAAATGCACTGTAACCAGCATGTACAACATTTGCTGCCTTCCTTGCTTAAATAAGGGCAATACTTGCCACCTGTTTTTCAAAGAATGAATGACCTCACTAATAGAACTCCACACTGCTATTATTTTGAACATGCCCCTTTCAATTAGTGATTCAATTACACAGAATCAGCAGCATGCATGTCATGACTGTTGGGTCTATTGGATTTCTTTTACTCTACTACACCTGCTAGTAAATTATTTGCCAAGCAGAAATATCATTTCTACCAAAAACAGTGATTGATCAGGTTGGTGATATCTGACTGCTATTATTTTGAACACTAGTGTGTATGTGTACACTCTCACTTTGGAGAGGTAGGGAGACCGCTGTCTCAGCTCCCCATATCCCTCTTATGTGTAAATCACTTTGTGCCTGTTAGGGGTACAGGGTGATCCGTCCTGATATTGTGTGGGCTTTTGTCTCAGACTGTAGACTTGTCTAGGAGATAGATGGGGTGGGGGTTGTTTAATGTTATGTGGCTGCATCCCATTGTTCTATTGTTGGCTTGGGAGCAAACTATTATCAGATGTATGTGTTTGTGTATTAGCTTATTGGGGGGGGGGGGGGAGTCTCCAGCAGCCCTCCCTCCTAATGGGACTATCTGCTAGTGTGAAGTTTGAGTACCTGTGTGCAGGGGCAGACTGACCATTTGGAAACTCGGGCACTGCCCGGGGTCAGTAGGGGGGCCCCATGAATGCCCCTGATACTTTTTTTTTTTTTTTATAGGCTTTTTTGAGTTTGGGCAAGGACATAGGGGCCCCATGATCCCTTATTGCCCAGGGGCCCCATGAGTTGTCAGTCCGCCCCTGCCTGTGTGTGTCTCTTGTTACTAAATGTAGACTGCCCCACCCTGTGTCATGATGCAGGGAGGGGGGATTGTCCCCTGTGTGTATATATCTTGTATCTGTGTTCAACTAAAGTAGTCTACCTCCTGGTTTACATCAAGACTGGTGTCATCTAGTCTTGTATGGTCTGTTGTCAGTGTTTGGACAGGGAAGTGGTATTCTAACGGAAGTACTCAAGCGCAGTCTGGGTCAGTTCTGTTTCAGGGTCTTTTTTTTTTGTTTTTTGTTTTGTTTTTTGTTTTTTTATAGAAGGAAATTCAAATGTTTTTTTTTTTTTGTACCAAGAGACCTTTGAATTCTTTTCTTCTTTCTTTTTATTTTAATAGAATTCAAATGTCTCTTTTGGCAAAAAAAAAGAGACCTTTGAATTATCTTCTAAAAAAAAAAAAAAAAAAAACAACCCCCCCCCCCACCTGCTAGCATGTTCTTTATAAAGCATAATCAACCTATTTTTTTTTTTTTTTTGAGTACCACTTCTGTGGGTTTATAGTGATCTCATACTCATGCCTTGTCAACTAGCTCGCCCATCATTAAATGTTATTTAGCAAATTATGTATACATCTTGTGATGAAGTTCACAGACATAAGTGCCTTTTCTTGTCCTAACAGCAAACTAAGCTAATCACGTTCTTTAAAAGCTATGGATTGCCTTTCCTTGTATGGTTTTCTTACTTTGGTGTAGTTGGTAGGAAATGTATTCTGTTCTGTGTATAGGTTAGAATAAGAGATCTCTTCCTCATTTGCCCTCTTGCAGCTGAAACGATATGTGGTGATAAAGAATAATAGACAAAACAAGCTTTGTTTACCACAAAAACGATTGACAAACATATAAAAATGTCTCACTAGAATACCTTAAATTTGTATGTTCATGTTGTAAACCTTTAGTTTTAATTTCGATAAACATGTATTGAACAAAAAATTAGAGAAATTTGCTTTATTTCCTCTTTTTTGTAAGTGATTTTAGTGAAATTTTGGTGACTAAAAAGAACTGCTTAAAACATTTTAAAGCTCCTAAATTGCATTCTGACTAAATCAAAGGTAAACCCTGTTAAACACTTACATGCAGCGTTTTTATGTTTTCAATAGGAACAATGTGCTCTCTCCTCTTCTAGGGGTGTTCCATTTACAGTCTGTGCTGGCCCAGCCCCACCCCGCCACTCCTCATCCTCTCTACATAAGCTTTTAAAGGCTAAGTTCAATTTTCTAAAAAGCTGCAGGCTGTATGAATGAACAAAGAGCGAACCGATCAGTGTGCTCGCAGTTCATTGACACTAAGGCTAAGTTTGGACTGCTGCAATCAGATTTTGATCCAGCTTTTGGTGGGATTGTGTGATGCAACTTGGATGGGGTTTGCATAGTCTATGGGGCTGAAATTGCACTGGCAATGCATCAAAGTAGTACGGGAACATTTTCCTAAATCTCTCTGTGCTGGGTCGCATTTCATGTGAGTAGACACCATTGAAAACAATGGGATTTCTATTGTCATGCGATTGTGTGCGACCAAAGCCACATCTGAAATCGCACTAGTGTGAACCAAGTGTGTCTGCCGTAGTGGTGGACAAGACTTGTAGTTTAATTTACAGATTCCTGTGATTGAATGACATGGCTGTGCAGAAATGTAATAGTGGGGAGAACCCCCGCTTGCTGTCACAGTGGGGGTGAGGTGGGGGGTGCTTAATAGTAACATATTACACCCTAAATACAGGTGTAAGATGTTTCTAAAGGTGAACCTATCCTTTAATGTAGCTCTCAGGGGAGGATTTAAGGGGAATACTAGAGTCATTTTATTGACAGCTCTGAGTATGTTGTTGACATCAAATCCAAGCTAGTGGTTCCCAGCAGTAATTGCTGGTCTTTGGGTTGCCTACACAAGGAAGTCTTTTTTTACAGGTAAATAATGTGCATAAAATCTGGTAAATGTATCTACAATGTTTTGGGGAGATTGTTAAAATTAATGTGTGGGGACAGGGTCTCATTAGGTTAGAAATGTAGCAAAGATGTATTTTTAACAAGTAGAAGTACCAGCCCCCTTGTGATAGCAAGATGGTTAGAAGAAAAGTTTTGATAGAAAAGCAAAACAAAAAAAAAAAAATTTTTTTTTAATATATATATATATATACTTTTTCTTCTAAGGGTCAACTGTAGGTAAAGGATTCTGTATATGTAGGTTTTCTTTTTATTTCTATATAGTATGTTTACTTTTTTTTTTCTATTGGCTGACGTAGATAGATGTTTTCTTTTTCAGCCTAACTTTGTAACTATGTAAGTAGCGCAAATATTATATGCCATAAAAACATAGATTCTCTACTTTAGGAAAATTATACAGTACTTTTCACCTGTATTGGAAAAAAAATGCTCTATCAGTTAAAGGTCTAAGCAACTGATCTGTTTCAAGGTACCTGAATCTTGTTGAGATTTTTTTTTTCTTCAAAGCATTTTCTATAGATTTCTTTTTCTTTGCTGTTTTTAGACATACGTGGGAAGCAGTAGATGATGGAACGGTACACTACAAAATCAACGCCTGTGAAAACCTAAAAGCCACTGATTGTGGAGGGACAGCAAGTTTTGTTTGTGCTCATGATATCAGCAAGAATACTTATGAGCCAGTTGGTAAGACTGTTAATGTTGCTTTCTGTTTTTCTTACCAGCCCTACTTTTATTTATATTTATATATATATATATATATATATATATATATATATATATATATATAGCAGGTTTTGGAAAATAAAGCTGTAACTTTTCTCTGTCTTGTTAGCTGGCTGCTGATCTTTTTTAAAGCAGGGGTAGGTAATTTAAGTAGGTGGATATCTACCTGAACAATATGGGAGAAGTCAACGGTCACCGGACACAGTGTTGCCTCCTGACACCTTATTAAAGCCTCTAATTACTGGACTACAGTGTTGCAATTGCATGCATTGCAAAGCAATCTTGGATTTAAATCAGGTGTTGAGGAGGCAACATATCGCCTCATCACCTTTCAAACACACTTGGATCACTTTTCAGAAGTGTACCAGTGCCTGCTGCACTTGTCAATGAGCCTTTAGATGCATTTGGCAGCGGCACCCTTAGGGGCTCGTCCACATGTAAAGTTGGGGGGGGGGGGGGGGCTAAAACTTTGTGGGTGAGACACGGTTTTTCCACTCCCAATCCCTACGCCTTTTACCTGCCCTTGGCAGTGTGTATACTTCACTGTACTGGCAGTGTGGATAAGCCGCAGCACATCAGTGTGAAAGCAGCCCTATACTACTATGCCCAGTGTATTGCTTCACACTGACCTGAAGATCTCTTCTTTCCTGCAGCTGGAGATCGCTGGCCGGGATAAGAGGTGGAGTGCAGTTGGTATCGCTCTGCAGGAGTCAGCAATAGAGAAAGCATTGGCTTTTGCGGCTTTTGCTTTCTTCTACAGCTTCAACTTTACAAGTAGTTCCTCTCTATTGCACTCTGCTTGATGCTCTAGGAATGTGGGTCAGAAAGCCCAGACCGCGATCTACTGGTTGCTGACCCCTGTTTTTAAAGCAAACCTGACCTGCCTTTTGAAAATTCTAGTTGCCTGGCTATCATCTGATGCAATGGCTTAAGTATTTTCTAATACAGAACAGTTCTTTTTATAAGTTATTTAAAAGTGCCCCTTTAAAGGATAGGTTCACCTTTGGAACATGTTACACCCGTTTTTAGGGTGGAACATGTAACATGTTCCCATAGCTGCAGTTGCACATTTTTAGCATGGTTGTTGTGGAGGGTGCTGGTCATCTTATCATTAGTCATGATCCAGTTTGATTTTTCTTTCCTGTAGTCAGACATTACTATTGACTGGTTTCAACAACAAGCAATTCCTACTCTAGGGGCCAGGATCATATAGGAAATCGGGCATGTGGTGTTTTTAGAAAGACCCTTATCAAATTTTTTAAATTAAGCAATCTCTGGAGGAATGCCAGGGATTTCACACAACGGAAGCAATACAAAGAGAACAGGATACTTTTTTCATACAAGTACATGGTACAGCAGGCACATATCCGGAATATGAAATGTTTGTGTTTACAAATTCGTTATCCGCTCCTTGCACAAACCTAGATCTATTCTTGGATGAAAAGGGTAAAAATACATTTAAAAAGCGGCAGACTCGATATGCCTCTTGTTAATTTCTGCCATCAAGTTTTTGTGTTTCTGTGTGTAAAGCGGAACACTAGACAGATGGTCCATACACAGATGAGAGCTGTTTTACCTAACAAAGGATTTTTGGCCATACAGTCTGAGATTTTACACAGCTCTTCCACACAGCACAGGCCTGTTTGACAGAGAAGGAGACCTGATCCTTTTCTGCTGCTGGATCACTCCCGCCCCCCCCCCCCCGCCCTGTGACTGTACAGCGAAAAAAGAATCGGCAAACCGATAAGCTCTATTTTTGCCTATTAGAATGCTCCTTGCACTGCAGCACATCTGTTTGGTTCTTTATGCTGCTTCTTCCTTAGACTGTACAGGAGGCCAATACTAGGTTATATTCGGGTCTTTATTTTTTTAAAACCTGTTTTAATTTATTAATACTTAGAGCTCCGTTAATTGTGCCTTTCATGTGTCTAGAGTTCAGCTTTAAAAGCAGACCTAAAGTCTTAATACGCACCTGTCCAACGGCAGTTCGTCTGAGTGCCAGTCGTCAGGACTCTTTATTGGTCGGTGGGGAATGATGTCACTCCTGTGCATGCGCAGGAAGCCATCGTCTTGGCACTCCAAGACTGGCCCAATGCTGTAAACTGAGCTGTGCATGCGCAGCTCATTTTTCAGCATCGGAGAAGACAGCGCGCAGGCAGGGAAGGGTTGCAGAAGAGACAGTGCATGTCTCTTCTGCAATAAATGCCTGCCTGCTTGCTCGCTGCTTCTTACAGCAGAGCTTCATGTCTGCTTTAATTTTTGGCAGGATTGTTTAGTGCATTTTAATACATTTTAATAAAGTATTGATTCATTTTTATTTGTTTTTCACCACAGGAACTGCACTTGTGCAAAGTGACAATAATGTGCTTGTATATAACACTTCTGTAAGCTGTCCTAAGCCTGGCCATACAGTCCAAAGTATCATTAACCTAGTGTGTGGGAAAACTCTAGTAAGTATGTTCTCCATGCATGTTTCTATTGTGTAGAACTTTTCTTTTAAATTTAATTTTTATAGAGTTTTACTGTGGTGGCCTGTGTTTTGGGTGGCTATTCCTGCACAGTCTCACCACATGGACAAGGAAAATGCCTTGTCTCTTATGTGCTTAGTTCACGCCACTGCTTTGCAGTAGTGTGCGGACACAGTGCGTTGAAAACGTACTGCATACAGTCCTTTTATTTAGCATAGTGTGAGGCAATCCACTGCCTCACAATGTGCTGCCGGCAATTGAACTTGTGATATCTCAAAAAAGTTAGTTAAAAAAAAAAAAAAAAAAAAAAAAAAAAAAAGACCATGGCGTCCGCTGAGCTCAATGCATCATCACTGCAGTGCCCTCAGGCCCATGTTCTGTTTGCATTTTCTGTGTTCAAAATGCACTGCGTGTGCAATCTGCTGCAGGTGTCACTGCATTCCTAATGACACTCCAAACACAGATTGCAAATACAGTGTGTTTATCTGCGCCTGATCGCATAGTACCGCAGTACTATGCGATCTGGCTGCAGTAAGTTTTTAAAAGCCCTGGTTCACACTGAATGTGACATCACTTGAAGTATTACGATTTCAAGGCCTCAGATCAGTGCGATTTGTTCCTCCTATTTCACTGTGGTTTGCGACACAATGAAATCGAAAAAAAAGTAGTTCAGGAACTATTTTTGAAATTGTACTACTTCAGATCGCACTGATTAAGACAGTGCCATAGAAATACATTGGATGCTACTTTAAATGTGACATGCAATTTACAAATCGCACCTGAAGTCACACTGGTGTGAACCAGTGCTTAATACGATCCAGTGCGACTTCAGCTCATTCGAATGGGCTGAAAAATCGCATTGCACTGAATTGCACAAGAATGCGGAAAGAATGCTTGTGCAATTGAGTGACCTGGCCCTTGAAGTTATATAGTTATCGGGCTAGAAGTGAAAAGCCACCAACACAAATTTAGGTTATGGGACAGAGAATATAACAACTGGTTCACTGGACTTTTTATGAGTCTTTAACTTTTTTTTTTTTACAAAGTTTGGTTTGCTTGCATAACTGTTTGGAAGAATAGAGTTAAAACTTGATCTAGAAGCAATCTATAAACATTTCCCACAGTTACTGAACAGTAAGCGCTGGTTCACAACAGCCGTTGTGCTATGCTGAAAAAAAGTACTGCATTCTACACTCTTCTTCAATGCACACCACTGCAGCACGGTGGTATGAAGAGGCCAGGTATGAGACAAGGCATTTTGTCTTGTCTTATGATGGACTGAACTGGAATAACAATGCAGTGCTAATAGGCCCAAATTTATATATCAGACAGAGATAACATTGGTATATATCTAAACCAGTCGTCACATCTCACCAACACATACACTATATTGCTAAATGTATTGGAAAAGCCCTCCAAATCATTGGATTCAGGTGTTCCAATCACCTCCATGACCACAGGTATATAAAATCAAGCCCCTAGGCATGCAGACTGCTTCTACAAACATTTGTGAAAGAATGGGTCGCTCTCAGGAGCTCAGTGAATTCAAGTGTGGTACCGTGATAGGTTGCCACCTGTCCAATATTCCATCCGTGAAATTTCCTTGCTACTAAATATTCCACGGTCAACTGTGGTATTATCACAAAGTGGAAGCAACTGGGAACAACAGAAACTCAGCCACAAAATGGTAGGCCATGTAAAATGACAGAGTGGGGTCAGCGTATGCAGACAGTGTGCAGAAGTTGCCAACTGTCTGCAGAGTCAATAGCTAAAGACCTCCAAACTTCATCTGGCCTTCAGATTAGCACAACAATAGTGTGTAGAGAGCTTTATGGAATGGGTTTCCATGACTGAGCGACTGCGTATAGGCCTTACATCACTAAGTGCAATGCAAAGCGTCAGATGCAGTGGTGTAAAGCACGCCACCACTGGACTCTAGAGCAGTGGAAATGTGTGTTTCTGGGGTGATGAATCACGCTTCTTTGGCAATCCGATGGACGTGTCTGGGTTTGGCAGTTGCCAGGAAGATGGCTCTTGCCTTACTGCATTGTGACAAGTGTAAAGTTTGGTGGACGGAGGATTTTGGTGTGGGGTTGTTTTTCAGGGGTTGGGCTTGGCCCCTTAGTTCCAGTGAAGGGAACTCTTAAGGTGTCAGCATACGAAGACATTTTGGACAATTTCATGCTCCCAACTTTGTGAGAACAGTTTGGTGATGGCCCCTTCCTGTTCCAACTTGACTGCACACCAGTGCACAAAGCAAGGTCCATAAAGACATGGATGAGCGAGTTTGGGGTGGAGGAACGTGACTGGCCTGCACAGTTTCCTGACCTCAAACCGATAGAACACCTTTGGGATGAATTAGAGCAGAGACTGCGAGCCAGACCTTCTTGAGCATGGCCTTCTCGTCTGACCTCATAACTGGACTTCTGGAAGAATGGTCAAACATTCCCATAGACACACTCCTAAACCGTGTGGGCAGCCTTCCCAGAAGAGGCGAAGCTGTTATAGCTGCAAAGGGAGGGCCAACTCAACATGAAACCCTACAGACTAAGACAAGGATGCCATTAAAGTTCATGTGTGGGGAAAAGGCAGGCGTTCCAATACTTTTGGCAATATAGAGTATATGGAACTCCAGTCGGGTAGCTAAACCACATTGCTAAGTCACGATTTTCTTTATCTGTACATTGTTGAGGTCTGACCCACCCTGATGCTGCTCGGGTAAGCTAAACCATATCTAGGCAAGTAAAAGAAGAGATCCAGCCAAATTCTACTCAAACTAGCACAATCAAGTTAAGCCAAATCCTGTCACATCAGCTCAGCCATGTCAGACCACATTCTACTACCATTAGGCTTCAATCACACGGCTCTAAAAATTATACTGATTATATTATAAATGTGTTTTCTAGGAGAAAAGTTCCCATGTAATGATCAGTAAAATATTTGTAAAAAGCACATTAAAATGTGTAAAGATGCATATGTGTACATAACTTGTTTTTATGACCATTTATTTTCCCTTTTGTTTAGACTTGTATGCATAAGCATGTAACGTGCTTGATTTTAGACACAGATTTTTGGATTCTATGTTACAGATCTGAAAGCAGCTCATGTTTACACATGTGTTAATCACTCTATTGAAAACCATGCAGCTGTGTTCAGATCCGTTTTTAAAAAACACTTGTATCTGCGTATTTTTATGTCCATGTGAATGAACCTTAAGCTGGCCATACAATATACTAATTTTATCGTACAGTTTTTTTTCTTTTAGATTCACCAAAACTAGGGATGTACCGATATCGTGTTTATTTTTTTTTTTTATATCAGCGAGTAAGAGTACCGATTACTTTTGGTCAAGTACTCGTCAATATCGAGTATCGATACTTTGCAGTGTGATTTGCGTTAATGGACTCAAATTGCACTGCAAATAATAGCATGCGATTTGAATAGGATTCCTGTCCAAATCGCATGCGGTTTCCTCTCTGCTCCTGTGTTAACCCAGGCTTGTCATTGAGAGAAAGCGTCGGGGATTTGAAATCCACCCCGCTTTCTTTTCTCTACTTGATGACAGTTTGGGCTAGACCAATCAGCTGCTGACCAATCAGATGCCGTCTAGCCCAAGCTGACATTTCTGCAAGGAGTGGAAAGGAAGCGGCGGGGTTTCCAAACCCCCTCCGTTTTCTCTACTACCATTGACACTAAGCAAGGGATGCCTGCAGAGAGGTTTCCCGCACCGCTCCTGTGTGAACCCGGGCTAGGACAAGCCTGGGTTCACACAGGAGCAGTGGGGAAACCGCATGTGATTTGAACAGGAATTGCATGCATGCTAATCTCTGCGGGGAGTACATTAATAGAAATCGTACCACAAAGTATCTGTTAGGGTATCCGTAGTATTTCCACGAGTAGTCATGAAAACACTCAGTATCGGTATCAGTGCATCCCTAACCAAAACCATATAATATGAGGTCAAACCTAAACACTTTTGATTTGTATACAATCAGGCAGGCCCTTGCACTACATTATTGAAGGTAAATCAAAGGGAATTTAAATAAAATTGTATAATGTATGTCCAGCTTTGGTGACAATGTTCAGCCACATTTCACCCAAACCAGCACAACCATATACAGCCACATCCACCCAAATTTGGACACCCAGATCCAGTTATACTCAGCTATGATTGGGTCTAGGCACCCCCTAGCAAATCCCAGCAGGGTCTTTCTATGCAGACCCAACTTTCAGCAAAGCCACAATCTTTCTTCATGAGCCTCATGATATATTCAGCCCTGCTGAGACTTGGGATATAAGGAGGTATAAAATAATGTAAAGATGCACTGTTTACATGAATTACAATGTATGTTTGCTGCCTCTGCAGGGGACTCCTGAATTTGTGAAATTTGAAGAGTGTGTACATTACTTTGAGTGGAGAACATTCACCGCTTGCAAGAAGAACAAATTTAAACCTGAGCAAGAGGTAAGTAAGGTGCAGGTTTAAGATGAAACAAACATTATCCATTTTTTGTAGGGTTACACCAATACCGGTATCAGAGCCGATACCAAGTATTTGCAGGAGTGATCCGATGCCTGACACAGATACCTTTTGCAGTGTGATTTGAGTATATACAAAATGGGGTGCGATGCGATATGAGCCATTCATTTTGTATGGCTCAAATCACACTGCAAATCGCACTGCACCCGCAGGGAAATCGCATGTGATTTGGACAGGAAGCACACCTCTTTCCTGCTCAAATTACATGTGATTCTTTACAGTGAGATTTGAGCCCATCCATTTTGCATGGGCTCAAATTGCACTGCAAAGGTATCGGTACTAAGTATCGGTGAGTACTTGAGCACAAGTGTCGGTACTCATACTCACCGATTTTTTTTTTTTTTTTTTATTTGAAATTGTATCGGTGCAACCCTACTGTTGTGGTTATGCAAGGAAAAATATATAACCTTAATAATAAATGTAATTAACTGATCTCTCTAATCTTTTAATTGCAATCTTTTTATTAGTTTTTGCATATAACAAGACCGATACATCTATATGGAATGTGCATGTAAAAAATATAGCATTTTGACAGTAAAAATTCTGCATTATCCCAAACAGTATCTGCTCCCACCATTCTTACATAGACAGTTGTGTATTTGGTGGAAGTTGCTTTTCCTTCTGCTGATGAGTCCTAGATGTGTAAAAAAAAAAAGATAAAAACCAAAACCTTCTATATTGTATAAACGTCCTTAAGGATTTCTTTTGAAGTGACACTAAACGATATCCCTATTCTTAAAAAATACTGTAAGTCATACACATCTGCTACTTAAAGTTGTACTAAACACACACGGTTTAATTTATGGTATTCCTTTTTCCTTCTGTATGTGGATCATGGCACTGTAATTATTTTAATAACAAAAAAAAACTTTTTCCTAATCAATTTACAGCTGTCACATGACCCAGCTCTTTCTCAGCCTATCTGCGGGGAAACATAAGCAGGAGGAGCTTCTAGTCCTCTGCTGCAGGTCAAATGCTCAAAATTAAAAAAAAAAAAAAGTAAAAATAATTAAAGCAGAGCTCCAGTCACTTTTGTGTTTATTAAAAGTTAGCAGCTACAAAAACTTTAGCTGCTGACTTTTAATAAACACACACTCACCTGTCTCATGGTCCATCGATGTGCTCACCCCGGCTCTCCCTCATGCTGGCATCTCAACTGTGGGCACCAGGCTGTGACCATTTGCAGTCGCGCGTCACATCCTGATTGGTCCAGCAGTCTTCTGGGACCTGTGAGGTGTCCCAGAAGACCGCGGGAGAAAGTCTTGAAATACAATATTTTTTTATTTTTTTTACCATAGCCGCCTGTTGATAGGGAGAAATCCTCCCACACAGTGTGTCACACCCCTCCAGCCTTTGTCTTAGAATAACAGAGAGGTGAGAGCATCTCCATCATTCAAAATGTAATATCCCACCCCCATTGTGTTTAGCTGGTTAGTGGGCATGGAGGAGGAGGGAGGGCTGTCGTTTACCACTGTGTATACACCCACTTGTGTGACTCTAGAGCAGTGTTTCTCAACTCCAGTCCTCATGGACCCCCAACAGGTCATGTTTTCAGGATTTCCCTCAGATGAAACACCTGTGGTAATTACTAAGGCAGTGAAACTGATCAAATCACCTGTGCAAAATAATGGAAATCCTGAAAACATGACCTGTTGGGGGTCCATGAGGACTGGAGTTGAGAAACACTGCTCTATAGTCACATGAGCTGTTGAGATGTGATAGGGAGGACATTCTCAGCATAGAAACTCACTGAAAACTGAGCGTGTTCACTAGCTGTCAACGCTGCTTTGAAAAATACCCAACTGCACTGGGTACATGGACAGAAGGGGAGACAGAGAACATCAGGATCAACCAGGTTTTTTGCAGAATCCAGAAAATGAATCCCTTAGTGAATGAGTGAATATGAACAGCATTTGATAGTTTATGATGTGGATTTAATAACCCTGTAATCTCGTTTTCATGAAATTGTTTCCTACTGTTGGTTTCTTCCTCTTTGTGCGCTACCCAAACCTCTCCTATTCCCACTCACTTCTGTTTGGATTGAACAGTGAACATTAATTATGGTCATGTGCACTGCTCTATGCTCCCTATAAATCCCATAGTCCTTATTCGACCTCGGGATTGAGAATAAAATAACAGTACAATTGTTGGAATACCGTACCATCAAATGTTACATAAAAGTTGCCTTATTAGATAGCTAAACCATAACTGTTCATAACTGATTTAATATTTCATCATACAGACTTTTGTTTGTATAAATACAGTAGGTACAGCAAGCTATTAATGCATTTGCAGAACTTTCACTCAGCTTCAAGTAGCTTTTGTTGCAGCAAGGGGGGTAAATACTCTGAAGGGCAAGTGGTTAAAGGCTAAGGTCACCTTTGGTACATGTTACATGTTCTATCTGTATTTAGAGTGGAACATGTTCCAGCTCTTCTTAACCCCAACCCCCCTCCGGTGAAGGGGGGTCGATCTCCTCCCCCGCACCCACTGTCACAGTCCTCCCTCATTCATTGAGTTCTGTGAAATAATGAACTACAAATTCTGTCAGCCACTACGGCTGACGGCTTGTAGTTCTCAATGAACTGTGAGGGTACTGGTGAGCGTGCTCTTAGTTCATTGATCCTTTCTGCCATTCAGTAACTGCGTGTTCGTATGGGAGGCATGGCCAGACAATATACTGAGAGTCTGCAGATAGTGGGTACAATACTTTACGGCAGGGGTGTCAAACTGGTGGCCCTCCAGCTGTTGCATAACTACAAGTCCCATCATGCCTCTGCCTTTGGAAGTGATGCTTGTAACTGTCAATCTTGCAATGCATCATGGGACTTGTAGTTTGGCATCAGCTGGAGGGCTGCCAGTTTGACAGCTGTGCTTTACAGGCTGCAGTGTAAAAAAAAAAATGCAAATTTTGTTTTCCTGCCAAAGGTTGCATGGTTATTAATGAATAATAAATAATATATTTTTTATAAAATGTGAACTTTAAAAGCACCATTTAGCTCCAGTTTGGGGAGATTAAATACAGATCTCAGTGGAAGTGCAGACTGTCACTTTAAACAAGTTGATAGCAGGCTTCAAGGATTAGTAAGATCTAGAACTACATTTTGAAAGCCTGGTGAAGCGTACATAAGCAGAAAGAGCACTGCGGCCTTGTAAAGCATAAAATACTTTTGAATAAAAATAAAATGTGACTGACACTCGCAAACATAAAAGATCAAAAGGTGTGTCAAGATGATCTATAAACCACATGGATAGGGTAGAATGGGCCACGAGCATCCAACAGAATGGCTGTCAACAGCTAATGATAAAAAAAAAAGATTGGTTTCTGGAGCCCTAACCGATCCTCCCTGTTTTCCATTTGCTGTGGTCTAAATGAGATCCCTACATGTGGTTTAGTCAATCTTTGAGCATCTCCAATTAGCGCTGTGTGGGACCTCTGTGTTTGCACTGGTTCCAAGTAAAGCTCTTGTTCCCTATGTAGCATGTACAATGTCCATTATTATGGTATGTGTAAAAGCTGCAAAGTGGTTCAAATGTAAATACTCATGTAATGAATATGCTTCTTTGCTTAGGTGCCCTGTTACATTTTTGATACTGATTACAAGAAGCATGATTTGAACCCATTAATAAGGACCACTGGTGGATATTTAGTGGATGATTGGGATCCGGATTCTGACTTGTACATTAATGTTTGTCGAACCATTGGTAAGGTCATATTGTTGTAATTCTTGTTTTTATTTATTTTTTTTTTTTTGTTAGAGTCGTCCTTTTTTTTTTTTTTTTTTTTTTTTTTTTTTTTCTTTCTTGAAGGGTACCTGTGTCTACATTTCATTGGCCTAAAAGGAAGTATGAATGCTGCCACTGATGACCTTCTCTGAAAAATGTAAATTTCCTGACAGTCTTGCTGATCCAGTGGCTTAATTACATGGCGTTACTGACCTGAAACAAGTATCTTATCAGGAGTTCTGACTTGTACTAGTCTGCATGCTTGTTCCAAGCCAGTGATTAGAAATACTGTATCTAGAGGCAGCCAGGTAACTGGCAGCCTCTTTTTAACTGTAAGTGCAAGTTCCCTGTAGCTCCAAGCAAACTGGTAAAAAAAAAAAAAAGATACAGTTGAAATACATATATATGATGAACTGTTTTTTTATCCTACCAAGGAATTCCTAGGTCTGTCTAGTTAGTTTTGTCATAGAGACACCCATGCAAGACAGCATAGCCTATCCCTCCACTTCGGCATTATCACAGCTTGGTCCAGAATACACTCCCAGCATGCTGATTGGATGATTATGATGGAGCAGCAGCTCATTAATGGGATTGTCATGTTCCCGGTCATGACATGTGCTCTGAAGAGTTAGGTTGGCTTTTAGTACGCACCCCCTATCTCCCAATCTGAGTGTTGCTGTACAGGGACCTAGGGGCTTGTTCACACCATCTCTGTTGAGCTGCATTTTCCTGCATGCCACTGCACATGTATAGTATGAATAGGCTACATAAAAAAATAGTTAAACATCTAGCATTTTTTATTTTACATATAAAAATTTTTTTTCATTAACATTTATATCTGCTTGAAGTACAGGTTTACATAATCATGCATTGTTATGAATGCTGTATACCTATAATGATCAGGTAGGCTGGGGCATCTGAAGAACTTGCGTATAAGAAAACAAATTAAGCTGGTTGTAGGCAGATAGGCATTTGGCCGGTTCAATTCCATCCATGTATGGGCAGGCTTTGCAATAAAAACAGACCCCCCCCCCCCCCTATACTGCCCACCTAAATTCTACCTTTACACCTGAACAGGTCTGTACACTTTCTGCAGCCATGACATCGCAAACGCACCCATTAAGTCAATTGGAGAGCCCCGTGATGTGGTGTTTTTTTTTTTTTTTTTTTTTTAGCAAAGTCTCTTGGGATAAAAAAAAAAAAAAACATTCAGGAGGAGGCACGATTGCCTCCAGAATGCCTGTAACGTGCTGCTATACTGCCCTTTGAAAAGCAATCCATAGCTGATCACTTTTTTTATGATACTAGATAGTGACACCAATGTGTGAGAGCGCTTTCTATTTTGAATTTGCAAACAAAGATAAGATGTAGATATACAGTTAGGTCCATATATATTTGGACACAGGTACAATTTTAGTTTTTTCAGGTATTTACCAAAACATATTCAAGCTATAGTTATTTAACAGATATGGGCTGAAAGTGCACACTCTCAGGTTTAATTTCAGAGTATGTACATCCAAATTGGAGGAAGGGTTTAGGAATTACAGCTCTTGAGAGTAGCCAACCCCCCCCCCCCCCCCTTTTTTTCAAGTGATCAAAAGTAATTGGACAATTGAATATAATCCTAAATAAAATGTTAATTTTTAATACTTTGTTGAGAATCCTTTACTGGCAATGACTGCCTGAAGTCTGGAACCCATGGACATTACTAAAGACTGGGTTTCTGGCTTTCTGGTGCCAGGCTCTAACTGCAGCTGTTTTTAGTTCTTTGTGGGTCTTTTTACCTTTTTAGTTTTGCCTTCAGCAAGTGAAATGCATGCTCAATTGCGTTGAGATCAGGTGATTGACTCGGCCATTGCAGAATATAACGTCATTCTGGTACAGAATAATCTTTGTTTCATCCATTCTAAGAATGCTTTTCCAGAACTGGTCTGGCTTTTTTAGATGTTTTTTGGCAAAGTCTAATCTGAGTTTTCTATTCTTCAGGTTTATGAAGGGTTTGCACCTTGTGGTGAACCCTTTGTATTTGCTCTTGTGAAGTCTTCTCTTGATTGTAGACTTTGACAATGATACGCCCAGCTCCTGGAGTGTCTTTCACTTGTCTGGATGATGTGAATTAGTTTTTCTTTACCATAGAGAGGATCCTGCAATCATCCACCACTGTTGTCTTCTGTGAACATCCATGCCTTTTAATGTTGCTGAGCTCACCAGTGCGTTCCTCTTCCTCAGAATGTACCAAACTGTTGATTTGGCCAATTCTAATGTTGCTGCTATCTCTCTGATGAATTGTTTTGTTTTTGAAGCCTTACAATGGCTTGTTTCACTTGCATGGACAACTCCTTCGAATGCATGACGTAGATTCACAGCAATGGATTGAAAATGCAAATACCACAATTAGAATCAACTCCAGCCCTTTTACCTGCTTAATTGATGAAGAAATAACATTGGCGTAGCCCACACCTGGCCATGAAACAGCTTTTGATTCAATTGTCAAATTACTTTTGGTCCCTTGAAAAAAGGGGGGATAGCTACTCCTTAAGAGCTGCAATTCCTAAACCCTTCCTCCAATTTGGATGTACATACCCTCAAATTAAACCTGAGAGTGTGCACTTTCAGCCCATATCCATTATATTACTATAGATGGAATATGTTTTGGTCAATACCTGAAAAAAATCTAAAATTGTGCCTGTGTCCAAATATATATGGACCTAACTGTAGTTCATTCTACAGTGTCCTGTGCTCACTGAACTGTGTGACAGGGAATGAGAGCTATCAATTTACATTAGGTTGCAGTGTAAAATGAGGATAAAATGCCTTAGTTACTGTCTGTCCCCAATTTCCGAAGAGAAGGTCTGATTTGGAGGATTTTTCCCTGTTGAGTGTTTTTCACACATGGTTTAGAAGTATATAAAGGACCAGATGGTATAAGGGAACTATAGAGGAGAAAAGGTGGTATTATCCAGTTTGTGTGCGTCGAATTAGTGGAAACCCAAATGAAATGTCCATCAAAGTTGCTTGGTACATCTGGAGAGAATAGCAGAGCTAATGTGTTTCAAAATAAATACTCCCTATGGCTCTGTTCACCTATCGAGTTCTGCCAAATCGCACGACAATTGTGGTAAAATTTCACCGTATTTTTGGGGTGTCATTAAGAATAGTGGCACCAAACACATGGTGTGCATTTTGCTATGATTTGTTGTGGACAGAATCGCGGGGATTCTGCTGGCGATTCCAAATCGCCAAGTGGGAATGCAGCCTGATGTTTGTCAGGCATTCTCTTGCTTCATCATTTCAAAGAATTTAATAAACTGTAAACCATTTCGCTATGTTTATTTTTCATCTATGCTGTCTGTTCAAGCAGGTTTATCAGGTTCCATATTGTATTGCCATGTTTAAAGTAGAACTAAAGGCAAACATTTTTTTTTTTGTTTTTGTTATTTTGGATAGAGTAAGGGAGGGTTTATTATAACCCCTTTTTAAAGGTTTTTTTTTTTTTTTTTTATAATTTTGTGATCTGCGTCGCATTTGGGCGATTACCCTTCACTAAAGCGGTCCATACACTAGTAGAATTTTTTGTTAGAAAATTTTTGTTTTAACCACTTCCTGTCCCGCCATTGTATCTAAACAGCTGGACGGTGGCAGTGCAGGGGCGGGTTGCCGTTCATAAATGGCGCCCACCATTTTGGATTGTGCGCGCTCCCTGGGAGCGTGTGGCAATGCGATCTGGTGCCCGCTGTGTCCGAAGGACATAGCAGAACACCGATCGCTGTACGGGACCTCTGTGGGAATTTCCGATCATGTGATCACTGATTGGCCAATCAGTGATCATATGAATAGTTGTAAGCAAGATGTCACTTCTGACATCATTGCTTACTACGTGTGAAATCTGTGAATGATCACAGAGATCACATGGTACAAGGCTATTCACAAGAGCCTTGTACCATCTGACAAGCTGTGACCAATCACAGCTCACACAGCATTTCTCAATGGCTGCAAGAAATCAGCCAGAGAGGAGAAATGATTGCTTTTACACCCATAAAGGCTGTAAGCAATCGGTGTAAAAAAAAAAAAAAATCTTCATCGCCCCCCACAAGTAGTACAGTGTCACTATGGTGGCACTGTACTGCTAGGGTGAGTGTATGTAAAAAAAAAAAAACAAAAAAAAAACATAAATAGTAAAAAAATTAAAAATGTAAAAAATGTTTTTTTAAAAAAGTTATAATTTTTGGTTCAACTAATTTGGATTATTTTATTTTTTTTTACTAAAAAGATAACTGAATAAATTTTGGCCAGGATTTATGAAGAAAGATTTATTTGCTAAATTTTATAAGAAACACTTTTTTTCAAAATTTTTGGACTTTTTCATTTTATATAGCAAAAAAAATAAAAATCCCAGTGGTGAATAAATACCACCAAAATTAAGTTTTCTGCCTCAAAAAAGTTCATATGGGTACAGTGTTGCATGACCGCGCAATTGTCATTCAAAGCGTGATAGCACTGAAAGCTGAAAATTGGCCTCGACAGGAAGGGGGTAAAAGTGTCCGGACTTGAAGTGGTTAAGAACATTCGTCAAAATAAGGTTCTTTTGCAACTGCAGTGACAAGAAAATTGGAAGAAGGATGGAAAATGTTTCACAAGTGAATTAATTTCTTACAGTGAGTTTTTTTGTTCATTTACTCCAAAATTGCTTCGAATGTTAAAAGCAAATGTTTATTGCACATCATTTTTCATGTCATCAAATGTACTGATAAAGAATTTTCGTAGCGCAGGTTAATTCGAAAATCTACTAGTGTGGGCCAGCTTTAGCCAAAATAGGAAATGAGCGGTAATCCCTCCAAAGCGAAGGAATCTTTGGATGTCATCAGAACTAGTGTCCTTGGATGATTTCCCCTTTATTTCTGTTCTGGGGACAACCTAAAATTGGGATTTACGTTCACTTTTGGTGATCACGATAAGCAGGACATAGAGAGGGTTAATCTCCCTTATGGGACATATGGCAATAAATCCCTCTCCACTCTATCCAAAACTGAAAAAATGTTTTACGTTCACTTTCTTCTTTAAAGTGATCAGGAAAATAAAAAAAAATATCTTCCCAAACCTCCTCTTCCAGGTCTCCTGCTGGTGCTCCTAGCTCCTCCTCTGTCTAGTGCCCCCATGGGAAACCGCTTCCCATGGGGGCACTTGTGCATGGTTGCTCCTGAGCCCTGCTGCTGCATCCATTGACAGACAGTGGTACTCTGCCTCGTCCTCTGCTCCCTTGTCACTGGCTTTGATAGCAGCAGAAGCCAATGGCTTCTAGTGCTCCAGCAAAGCCAGTGAGCCACAGAAGTGAAGGGAGAGAATAGCTACAATTTGCACAGCACTGGATCAAATGAGGGCTCAGGTAAGTAAAAGGGGGGTGAGGGGTCGAAACCAATGCCTAAAACATTTTTGTCCATAATGCAAGGAATGCCTTAGGGTAAAAAATGTTTAGGCTTTATAACCACTTTAATGCATTGTGCTTGTCTGTCTATACTTTGAAGTATATTATGTTCTGATGTTTTTTATTTTTCTTCAAAAGGCAGCTCAGAAGGAGACACGTCAGCCTGTCCTGCAGCAAGTGCTGCGTGTGTTGTCAAGGGTGGCAAGGCTTACGATATTGGGCGACCCAAGGAGCCTCTTAAATCTTATGTGAAAGAGAGGTAAACATCAGCTTCCTGTACAAATGCTGTAAAAGTTTATTGAATTGTTATACTGTGCTGAAGGTTATCTAAAAATGTTTTTCAAGTGTCATGAATATGTGGTTATGATTAAACATCTGTGACATGAGATCCATCAACCTTGTTCCCTGTGTGTCTGCGCTGTTTTTAAATTGCTGCAATAAACAAGTTGGACTTTTATCTTCAGGTGTGCAGTGTTCCTCCTCTGTTTCTTCCATTGGTTGGTATATGGGCCGAACATACCCCCTGTTTCTTTACGGTGCTATAGTTTTGGACTGGTCTGAAGTGGTGCATTATCTTTGCATCAATGTCCTGGATATGTTGTTGAATGTGATCCACGAAATGTAAAAAAAATAAAAAAATGTTGAAGATTTAAAACTCGTTTCTCTATAAAGTTTGCAGTTCTTTAGGTTGCAAAAGACAGCCATATTTTAGGGATGCACCAAAATTTCGGTGGCCAAAACGTTTGTCGAAAACACCCCCGACTGAAATAAAAAAAAACAAAAAAAAAAAAAAACGCCGATTATATATATATATAATTTTTTTTTTTTAATTAGTGTATTTTTTCCAAAAAATATATATTCATTTTTAAAAACGGCACGTTTTGGTTTTCGACCAAGTGCGTTTGAATTTTCGGTTTCGGCACCAGTATTTTCATTTTGGTGCACCACTACCATATTTGCTTTATTTCAAATCACTGTACAAACGTGACTAGTTTATTTTATCCCAGCAGTTGCATTGGAGGTTGACCAAACAGGTAGCCACTAAGGGCAGAATCACACTGCCCCGGTTTTCGTGTGGGTTAGCTGTGCTTTCCCATAGACTTCTGTGAGGTCCTACGGTTTTGGCGCGGCTTGTGAAAGCACACCAAAGAAACAGCATGCAGGAGTTTTGGTGTGCTTCTTGAAACTGCACCATTACCACGGGACCTCATAGAAGTCTATGGGAAAGCATTGCTAACCCACACGAAAACCACAGGTTAGCTGTGCTTTATCAAAAGTGCAGTGGGGCACTGTGAAGCTTCCTTAAGAGGAGATTCTGCAAACGTGAACAGTGATTAAAAATGGCATGTGTGAAAATCCCTATTAAACTGACTGTTGATTACTTCAGTAGTCCTAGAAGTGATGGCAAACCGGTGCCTGCAAGCGTGATCAGACATCTATTCTATCGCCTTCATCCTTATGGACCTTTAGCACTTTCGAAGCCTGGGTGATCTGATGTGCCAAAGCAGCTTTGAAAACTAAAGATCTACCTGGCCCTGTTACCTGCTGCACCTCCATACTGCCTACTCCTCCCCATCATACTCTTGTGCTAGTAAAGAGGTATGGTTTATGAAAAGACTTCAGATCTTAAAGCTGCTGTTTGAATTTTAGATCACCTAGGCTTTGGCAATGCTAAAGTAGTAACCCGGGTATGTAAGTACACAAACTGGAACCCATACTTTCCGATTACCCATCACTGATGGGCTTTTACCTATTCTGAGGTGTCCACAGGCTCAATTTCATCTTGCAAAGTATCTCAAAATGTGCACTTTTGCACTCCCTCTAAAGAGTGCTGAACAGAGATGGTTCATGGTTTTTTTTTTTTTTTTTTATTTATATTTGCTTTGGAGACTGCTCTTTGTAAATTTGACTCTTTTGACTTTTTTTTAATTCCTAAAGTTGTAAGAGTGCGGCTCTAACGGTTGTAGAAGTGAAGCGTATAAAGCTTCCATACCCTAGTCCTCTGATCTCTTGCTTGAATGGCCTGCTATAAGAGACGTCTGGGTCTTTTTGGTCCTTCTTCTCTTTTTACTAGGTGACCAGAAGTCAGTTCCAGCACCCTTGAAGATGAAGGACTTTGAGCTACTTCCATCTGCAGTTACCAGAAGTCTCTTTGACTGGAGCTTCAAAGCAACATTTAGTTCAATTGTGTCACTGAAGTGACTACTGTCACTTTCTCCCACCTCATCTAGCCCTGCTTTCCTATCTATTTCATGTCTGTAGCCTGTGTGAAAGATTTGTATTGAACTTTTTTTTTTTTTTTTTTTTTTCATTTTAGGCTTGTTCTTCACTATGAAACAGACATAAAGCCTGATTTTTGTAATGATCATCAGCCAGCAGTGACTATAACATTTATCTGTCCAACAGCGGGAACTGAGGTTAGTGCAATTTTACCATTACCAATGCTGGTTACGCTAGGCATGCATGGATGATCCTTTTTTTTTATACTGTACAACAGGGGCTCATTCACACTCTCTCCATTGCACTGCACTGATCTATATACACTGCTCAAAAAAATTAAAGGAACACTTTGAAAACACATCAGATCTCAATGGGGAAAAATCTCATGCTGGATATGTATACTGATACGGACTGGGTAATGTGTTAGGCACGTAAGGCTGCTCCATTGTTTGATGGAAATTAAAATGATCAACCTACAGAGGACAGAATTCAAAGACACCCCAAAAAACAGTGAAAAATGATGCAGCAGGCTAGTCCATTTTGCTGAAATTTCATTGCAGCAACTCAGAATGGTACTCAGTAGTTTGTATGGCCCCCACGGGCTTGTATACATGCCTGACAACGTTGGGGCATGCTCCTAATGAGACTGATGGTGTCCAGAGGTATTTCCTCCCAGATCTGGACCAGGGCATCACTGAGCTCCTGGACAGTCTGAGGTGCAACCTGGCGGCATCGAATGGACAAAACATGATATCTCAGAGGTGTTCTATTGAATTTAGATCAGGTGAGCATGGAGGCCATTCAATGGTATCAGTTCTTTCATCCTTCTGGAACTGCCTGGATACTCTCGCCTCATGACCCACTGTACCAGTGTAGGGTCTGACAATGGGTTCAAGGATTTCATCCCGATACCTAATGGCAGTCAGGGTGCCATTGTCTAGCCTGTAGAGGTCTGTGGGTTCCTCCATGGATATACCTCTCCAGGCCATCACGGACCCACCACCAAAAATGGTCATGCTGAACCATGTTACAGGCAACATAACATTCTCCATGACGTCTCCAGACACTTTCACGTCTGTCACATGTGCTCAGGGTGAATCTGCTCTCATCTGTGAAAAGCACAGGGTGCCAGTGGCGGACCTGCGAATTCTGGTGTTCAATGGCAATGCCAATTGAGCTCTATGGTGCCGGGCAGTGAGCACAGGGCCTACTAGAGGATGTCGGGCCCTCAGGCCACCCTCATGAAGTCTGTTTCTGATTGTTTGGTCAGAGAGATTCACACCAGTGGCCTGCTGTAGGTCGTTTTGTAGGGCTCTGGCAGTACTCTTCCTGTTCCTCCCTGCACAAAGGAGCTGATACTGGTCCTGCTGATAGGTTAAGGACCTTCTCCTAGAGTAACTGCCTGTATCCTGGAATTTCCTCCATGCTGGGAGAGACAGCAAACTTTCTGGCAATGGCACGTATTGATGTTTCATCCTGGAGGAGTTGGACTGCCTGTGCAACCTTTGATGGGTCCAGGTATCTTCTCATGCTAGCAGTAGTGACAATGACCCTAGGAAACTGCAAAACTAGTGAAAAACAGTCAGAAAAGATGAGTAGGGAAAAAAATGTCGGTGTACTCCACCTGTAAAACCATTCCTGTTTTGGGGATCGTCTCAATGTTGCCCATCTAGTGCACCTGTTGTTAATTTCATTAACACCAAAGCAGCTCAAACTGATTAACAACCCCCTCTGCTACTTAACTGACCAGATCAACATCCCAGGAGTTTAATTGACTTGATGCTATACTCTGATTAAAAAGTTTTCCGTTAATTTTTTGAGCAGTGTACTTTAAAAAGGACTCAAAATCACATAAACAATTGTTACTGTTACGTTGAGGTGGGATGCGATGCATTGTCTAAAAATGCAACCATGCTGTATTTTTACATCATGCACTGGCCCTCACTGCATGTCACTGCAGCATGTCACATTGTACAGTGGTGTTTCGAGTTGATAACATAATTTTCAGGAAAAATACTCTAAAATGTATTTTTAGTGCAAACACAATATTATACCAAATTTTTGGTAAAATATAAAAGATGGGGTTGCCTTGAGTAAACAGATACCAAACATATCAAGCCTTAAAATTGCCCACTCCTGTGAAATTGCAACATTAAAATTGTCTACATTTACCCAGAATTAAGTCCAGTAGGTTCTACCATTACATAAAACAGTCTTTACAGGTTATCAGTTAAAACATGAGGGGAACCCTGTGAAATCTAGGAGGGAGGGCTGGCCCTAGATTTACTGCTCTCACACCAACATTTGGTGATACTTTGCATGTGCGGTGCAATTCACGTTTACATATGAGTACTCCACTTATGTTGCACATTTGAATTGGGGTGCATACAGAGGTGGAGTGCTTTTTTTTTTTTTTTTTTTTTTTTTTTTTTAAGACCTTTTTTTAATTTTGATTTTTAATATTTATTTATATTTACACTGTTTAATTTTCTATTTAACTTTATTGCTATTACAAGAGTGCTAACCAGACCTCTTTATGAACATTTGGGGGACCCTCAATGTCTCCCCTGCTCTCCGATGTAGCTAATCAAGCATAGGTTAACATATCACCAGAGTCGCTCAGGTGTGAACAGAGGTCATTTTAATTTTCACTTGCTTTTATTTATTGTATGGTCTGGCAGTGTTCCCCTCATACAACAGGAGGTCCGGTACACTAAAAAAAATTATGTAAGAAAAAAAAAAGAAAATCGAAACAAAATAAAGCTTAATTTTACTTAACCTTTACTCCCAGCCCTTCAATACTTGAATCGCAGACTGAGAATATAAGCAAGGAGCACAGACCCAACTTCATCTGACACTGTTTGCTATTCTAATTTGATTTTGATGTTATGTTTACAGAAAGGGATTTTCTTTGAACCCTTCCTGTTCCAGTGACACCCAGAGCTTTCTTTTGAATTGAACTTCCTGCTTCCCTGCTTTGCGTGCATTTCTTATATATATTGATATTGAAAAGGTGTACAGTATCCCTATCCTTGGTCTCATAGGTTATAATGCGAATGCTTTGCAGAGAAGCATACTGGGTGTTTTGCACACAGCAGTGCCCTGGGTGTCACTGGTTCAGGAAGTTAAAGCAGAACTTCATTCTCTCAACATTGACTATTTCTAATCCTTATGCTGCTAGCATTCGTAAAAATATAGGAAAGCTTATCATATTTACTTGTGTTTAACCTTTTTTTTTGCATTTCTTCAGTTACTTTTTTGGTTTCCATGCCTAGGCAAGTGTCATACATCCAAGGAGTCTTTAGGATGGAGGGTTCTTAGCTAGGGTTGCTACCTCATCCCTTTAAAACCAAACGCATATTAAATACACAGGTTCTGAGGCCAATTGAATGCAGATAAAGCACTAGGTGAGTTTAATTGCCACCTTAATCAGCCACAGAACCTGTGTAAGTAATGTTTTTGGTTTTAAAGGGACAAGGTGGCAACCCTATTCTTAGCTCAGCCAATGCCTGAGCTAAGGACAGATGGATTCCAGGAAGTAACTGCTTCATGAATCATCTGCCCTTACTCAAGATGGCCACTGCCAGAAATGCCAGGGGTTGTTTTTCCAAAAATGATTTCTGAGCAAAATAAAGCATAGAGACATGGATGGACGCAGGAGTTTGTTTTTAAATAGTAAAAATGAATTGTATAGCGATTTTGGTTGTGGTACACAGATGAAGTGCAGTTCCACTTAAGGAGAAATTCCCAGATCGAGCCACCTACAGCAGTAAAATTAGGTGATCTCACTACTTCGTACTCCATCCAAAACTGAAACGCACACATTCTGACTGAGGTTCCATTTTGTCACATTAAGGCACTAATTGTTTACCTGGTCTTCATGATACTGAATACTTTGATGAATACACAGTAGTTTCATTTTTATTAAATGTGTCATATGAAAAAGCTTAATTTATGTGGTGTACCATATTTTACTGTCATTTAGGTTACTGGCCCAAAACTAACTGCAAACTCCAACTGCCGCTATGAGATTGAATGGATTACAGAGAATGCCTGTCACACAGAGTACCTGGAAAGTGATAGCTGCAAACTCATCAGCAAGGAAAGAGGCATTTCTATTGACCTAACTCCCCTGAAAGAAACGTCTGGTGAGGACTTTAAATGACAAGTACTAGTTTTGTACATTTCTAAGCAGCAGGCCAGAAGGAAATGGGCCCATTCACCCATCTGTGGCTAGCAGCATTATGTTGCTCTGCATTCAGCATTGTTAAAAGAAAAACAAAAAAAATATAGAACAAAGCTGTGCTTGGGGACGTATTTTATTTAGCTTTGTTTTCGTGTTTTATACATGTAAATGGTTATGCTAACATTTACTTTTGTATATTGTCACCGGGGCTGGAAATGGAGTTTAATCGCTTCCTGAATGCCCTATAGCAGAACTGCTGCTACAGGGTGGCAGGGCTGCGCAGAATCACGTGTGTGTGTGTGTGTGTGTGTGTGTGTATATATGTGATTTTTTTGTATTTCTGGGTAGGGGCCGCATGCGCCCTACCTGCGCCATTTGGCGGCTTCAGCTGTCCATCACCGGGGGTCCCAGCCGGAGATTCCCCGCTGGCACCTGGGGATTGCCGAGGAACACTGACGGGTGAGAGGTCTGTATGTAAACAATACAGATCTCCCCCCTGTCAGCACCAGCATGCTGCTTTGTAAGCAATACAAAACAGCATGCCTCCCTAGTAAAAAAAAAAAAAAAAAAAAAAAACCGCACACAGTTAACCCTTTGATCGCCCCAGATGTTAACCCTTTTCTGCCCAGTGTCATTATTACAGTGTCAGTATTTTCTTATTAGCATTGATCACTGTATTAGTGTCACTGGGGATGTTTTTGATAGTTAGCCCCCCCCCCCCCCCCAGTGTCAGAATGCCTGCCTGCTGATCGCTGCCATCGCTATATATATATATATATATATATATATATATATATATATATATATATATATATATATATATATATATATATATATATAAAAAAAAACATTCCAGTATATATACAGCCATTTGTAGAAGCTATAACTTTCATGTTATACTGCTCTCCACTGATGTAACCGAGCACTCCAGGCTCTAGAAGGTTCCCACCATATTGTCAAGATCCGCCCACTGCTCTCTGCTCTGAGCTGTTCGAGAACTGAGCGATCAACAGTCTTGGGATCGCTGAATTTAGAGCCTGTTGGGGACAGCTGCCGCATCAGATCATTGCTCCAGCATGGGGGTGAGTGTATGTATCTGTCTGTCTATCTCTGTCTCAAACGTCTCCTTTATAAAGCCCAACTCTGGACAAGTAGAAAAAAAAAAAAAAAAAGATCCCTAGCAGTGTAAATAAAAGGAGATATACCGTAGTTAAAGCCATCCTCTGCTCCTCCCCACAGCTAGACTGGTTAGTGCAGCCTCTTGCTTGCATTCTGGACTTTGGTCCCTGGGTGCTTGCTTGCCCTAAACCTTAGTACCACTCAGTACACCATCCAGCCTCAGCAGCTGTAAGCCATTGAGTTTTACAGGTAGTTGGCAGTGGGACTGGATGGGCTGTGCCTGTGACTTCTGTCCACACACCAGAGTCTCATGCGCCAGGGCTGAACACCCAGTGTGCACAAAGCTCCTAGATTGTAAGCTCAAAAGAGCAGGGCCTTGACCCCCTCGTGTTTTGTTACTGTATTGTCTCATGTTCTGTCCCCCACTATAATGTACAGCGCTAAGCAAACCTTTTTTAGCACTATATAAATACTGTATAATAATCCTACTTGAAAACCTGTCTAAACCTGTTTTAATGCATTTAGCTATGTATTAGGGTATCTGATTGGATCCTGTATCCTGTAAAGAATTCCATTTTCTCTGATTGCACCTAAATGCAGGTAATCTCAGTGTGAATGGCACCATTGAAAAATTATGACATACTTTTATGTGCATTTAGAAAGGTTTCCTAAATGCCAGTTTGACAGTGCCAGTGTGAATGAGGTCTAACAGTAAGGTTTTGGGCATCAACAAAAACCTGATTGAGTAAATGTGGCAAATGAGGTTTAATGTTGATAAATGTAAGGATATTGTCAGGGCTCCGGGTATGACCAGAGGTGTGTGGACTGACACAGGGAAACGCAGGCTTCAGGTATAGTAAACAATATAATTTATTAAAAGGTACAACACAAATACAAAACGCACAGTATAACAAAACCAAAGCTCCAACTGATAACAGAATGTACACAGACAAGGGCAGTCAGGGCTGGTGAGGTGGAGTGGTCAGGCAGGCCGAGCCCACAGCACGGATTTCCTCAGGGCGTGGGGTCTAAGTCCCAGTCTGCTGTTCACCAGGGCCCCTGATGGTGGGGATGGACTGGAACCAGGTCGCGACCCCTGAGTGCGCCCGGCTATGGTAGAGAGTACTGGCAGGGGAGTGCGGGAACGGAGTCTGATGGGAAGAGACAGGCAGACTTACTGAAGTGATCCGTGCGGGATGGATGGATCGTCGGGTGAAGTGAGCGTAGTCAGGCAGGCCGGGTCGGTATCGTGCGGGCAGCAAGGTACAAGGAGCAGGCGGAAGCGGAGTCAGGAATAGCCGAGGTCAGGACAGGCAGAGTTCATGCAGAATCCGGATTAAGCAGGATCAGGCAGGAAGCAGACAGAATGCAGGTACGGGGGCTCATGGGAAACATACACCAAGGCCCTGAACACAGGCCTGGCCATTCCTTAAATATACCTGTTGTAATCCGCTTCAGGTGATGGCTCATTGTAGGAGTGGCTCATTGGCCCCCGCTGGCCAGCCCTGGTACTGCAGTCCAGAAGGCAGGTGCGTCCCACCACTATTGCTGAGTCCATTCCTGACCGATATATCTTGGGGGGCTAAGAATATGTATGCATTATACATGCTAGGGGGTTCAACTGGGGGAATCAATAGTGGAGAAGGATCTGGGAGTTCTGGTAGATCATAAGCTTAATAACTGCATGCAATGCCAATGCTAAAGCAAGCAAAATCCTCTCTTGTATTAAGAGGTATAGACTCCAGAGAGAGAAATATCATTTTATGCCTGTACAAATCATTAGTAAGACAGTGGATTGCTTTAAAAAAGGCCTGGATTGTTTCCTAGATACACCTAGTATAACTGGATACTAACGTTTATAGGTAAAGTTGATCCAGGGAATATCCGATTGCCTCTCAGGGGATCAGGGAGGAATTTTTTCCCCAGCAGGAACAAATTGGATCATGCATTGCTGGCTTTTTATGCCTTCCTCTGGATCAACTGTGGGTATAGTATTATACATTTTTTTTTTTTTTTTTCATGGTTGAACTAGATGGACATTTGTCTTTTTTCAGCCAGACAATGTAACTAATTTTTCTCCACTCTATCCAGTACCAAAAAAAGTCTTTTGGTTGGAATTGCTCAATAAATCTTGTAATCAGAAATATTTATTGGCTTTTTTGAGGGACAAGGGGCAGTAATGGTGAATACTCTAGAATGTGGGGGAGATGCATAAATGGGGGGCCACGCAGTATAGAATGCTTCCCTTCAAATTTCTCACATTGCATCATGTGATTATTAAAAGGAAATTGTTGTATGGATACATTTCCCATTTTTGTGTTCTAGTTGGTGCTTACCATGCAGAAGATGACAAAGGTGAATATACGTATTATCTGAATGTTTGTGATAAAACGCATGGAGGAGAATGCTCGGGTGAAATGTCATCCTGTCAGTATAAGAAAGCTGGTGGCCAAAGTAAAGGTGCAGGGTCCTACAAAAATCAGACGCTCAGGTAAGTATATGAACATTGCAATGTGCTCTTTATTGTGTTTGATATTATATCCTAATTAAATATTTCAATGGTACTTTATTGGGATTGTCTCCTTTATTAGTGGACTGCTTTTGTTGGACTTTTTGTTAAAACTAAATTACAGGCAGTTAAAAAATATACAAATTAGTGCAGTTCTGTACGCATTAATGCATTATTAATGCAAGCAGTTTAAATATTTTTTGCATTAATGCAAGCAGTGTAAAGCCAATATCTGAATTTAAATACTAGGCTTGGTATCAGAGCCAGATAGAGGGCTGCTAGTCTCATTTCTTTGTGCGGTCACGGGAGAGTATTACTGAAGCATCACAAAAGGAGCCAATCAATCTTGCCGTCCGCCTATAAAACTGCAGTATTTAAATACCCGCCTTTTCTAGCTGTGCGCGCTCCCTAGGATGGACCACCGCTGATCCGGTGTCCGCTGGACACAGCAGAGCGACAGAGATTCATGATCTTTGGGCTGCTACGTCTCATTTCTTTGTGCGGTCAAATCTGACTGAGGTAGTATTACTGAAAACGAATCGAAACCTCAATGAAGCAAAAAAAACAGAATAGAGAGAAAAGAGAAATGATTGCAGGGTGTTTCACCAATCACAAGTAGTAAGTGTCACCATGGTGACACTGTATGCTAGGGTGAAGTATGTAAAAAAAAATAAATAAATAAAAAATAATATAAAAAAAAATAAAATAAAAATCTAAAAAAAAAAATGTTTAAAAATTATAATTTTTTGGTTATAAACAAAATATTATTTATTTGCAAAATTTTATTTAAAAAACACTTTTTTTTTTTTCAAAATTTTTGGACTTTTTCATTTACATAGTAAAAAAAAATAAAAATCAAAAATGTAACATATTGCTTCTTACCAATCATTAGATTTGGTGGCTGTATTCGTTTCTTACCTTTTATTTCACCTGGTGGTCCAGCCAGTAACTCGCATCTTGTTGCAGAGTTGTCTGCATTCTGGATGACAGCTGGACAGCAGCATTGTTGGTCTCTAGGGAGAGGGTAGAGGGAGACTAGCAGCTGTAGATGGACCTGACTAACAAATTGAATCTGAACTAAAGCTAGCGCTTTATAAGCAGGTAACAATTATTTTCCTTTTGGGATAAAGGTTTCACCAAAATAACTAAAAGCTAACTATTGCAAGCACCCCTGTCAGTGTTAAATGAAGTTGTTAAATAAAATAACACTTACTGGGTGGATTATTAGGTGAAAATAAAAAGAAAACTAATGCAGTCACCATATTTAATATTTGGTAAGCTGCAGTTTAATACATTTTTTTTTAATACCAATATGAAAGTGGAAGCTACATTAGTTTTTTTTCTTGAATTTTTTCCTTTTTATTTTTAACTGCTGATCCAGTCAGTAAAGCCTGGTACACACAGGTAGTTGTTGTGTGTGTTTTTTTTTTTTTTTTTTTTTTTTTTTGTGTTCAACCTAGCAGGCTGAATGAAAACAAAAACTGAGGAGCTCTCTGTACTATAGTACACTGATCTCCTTGTTGAGATATTTGTGTTTTTGACAGGGGGTCCGCTGCTCGCGAGACAGAAGCTGTACAGGCTGCTGTACACACAGGCCGAATGTCGGCCGGTTTCTGTTGAAACTGGCCAATACCAGCTGATATTCGACCCATGTGTACCAGCCATTCGTCTGTTATTTTTCAACTTTAGGCCACAAATTTTATAATTAGGTGCCCGGAGTGGAAACGACAAGAAAAGAGCTTTAGAGCTTTAGATTTAGTTTTTTTTTTTTCCTTTGTTTTTTTTTTTATTTCTTTTAATAAACCCAGATCATAGAAAGAATGTTTTTATATATGGATATCAAGAAAACCTAGAATATCTTTTTCTTCTGGAGCTCCAAAAATAGAGGGGGGTCTGGATTTACCTGATATCCTTCTGTATTATAAAGCTATTGCATTTGTGAGGATCTTAAACTGGAATCACTATGGGAGTGCTAAAATCTGGGTTAAAAAGTGAATCCTATGGCCAGGGGCGGACTGACAACTCATGGGGCCCCTGTGTCCTTGCCCAAACTAAAAAAAAAAAAGCCTATGAAAAAGGTACCAGGGGCATCTCATGGGGCCCCCTACTGACCCCGGGCCCTTGGGCAGTGCCCGAGTTTCCAAATGGTCATTCCGCCCCTGCCTATGGCTAGACGCCATCTTGCTCATGCTCCGTGGGTGCCGGTTGAGTATAGGGGTTTCTCGGATGGGACACTGTAAATAGGTAAAATTTGCCACCTGCAGTGTCCCTGCTTGCTACGTTTGGGACGTTTTCTTTGGCTTGCCCAGGGAGAGGATTTATCATTTGTCATTTTGATGTTTCTTGATGCTGGCATGTACTGTGTTTACGGTGTTTGGAACTGTTTAGTAATTTTTCGGATGTGTTTGCCCAGATACTCTGATGGTGACATTACTTTGACGTATTCTGGAGGAGAAACCTGTAGCACTGGCTTCCAGCGTATGACCGTGATTAATTTTGAATGTAACGAAACTGCAGGTAAAGAGGACAGTTTCACTGTACTAGACTTAAGAATGATGGCTGCATGGGACACATTAGCTTCTATTCACAAAGCTTTAAAGTGTTACTAAACCCACAACAGTAAAATCAGTCTGTATATGCAGTAAAGCATGCATGTCATACTCGCTGTGGAATCTAAGGGGTTAATCCTCTGCATTGTGTAAAAAGGCAGTTTGATCCTTTCTTTTTTGTTCCTCCCCCTTTTCAAGTGACCACCTCTTATCTCCTGATAAGACATACTGAACTGTAAACATTTACACATGCTCAGATTGGTGTGTATTGCTAGAGAGGCTTTTATTTATTATTTTTTCTTGGGAGAGTGCATGTGATTAGCACAGGGCCAATCAATCAGCACTGGTTAGACATAAATCAGGGGTTTTGCACCCTCATAGAGCAGAAAGAAAACTCCTCCTACAAGCTTTAGCTAGTGCTCTGCTGAACACTGATAAAATCCACAAGACTGCTTTATCGGTCTTCTGATGAGAAAAGGTATTTAGCAGTTTATATTTACTAAAATATTTACATTTCCATGTTCTGTGTACTGTGGGAGACCAGATATAGTGGATGCAGGGTCCTGGGTTTAGTGACACTTTAGTAGCCATGTGAATGTAACTATCAAACATAATTGGACTCTGAAAATAACTATCACTATTTTGCAATTAAGAATTCTTTCTATGGTGTGTTAGCTTTGTGAAATGAGCCAAATAAATTCCACTGTGAAGAAAGTCGATCCAGGGAATATCCGATTTGCCTCTCGGGGGATCAGGAACAATTGAGTACTGACGTGATACTTTTTTATTTGCACTAACATACAATTTTGAGGACAAGCTTTCGCGGTATGTCCCCTTCAAGGTCCAAGCAGTACTGATTTATTGATCTATAGGACACACAAAACACCAGGACATGAATACAGGACCTGTTAATGCGTTTCACACTATCTCGTGCTAAATCATAACCAAGTTACATAACCCTAGTACAGCTGCAAGCAGATAATCACTCTACGGCCAGCTCTACATACCACCTGTTGCTTCTCAAGTGTGGAAATAAGTTATGAATTTTTTGCTAGAGTATAATTTCGTTGCAAACCATCCATGTGTATGAGACCTAATGCTAGAGCAGTGTTTCTCAACTGAAAGATTTAAACACGCTAACAGTTTCCTATCTGTTGGAGACTATCTTGGATATTTGTACTTGGTTTCCTGGATTTGTACACCTACCATTGCCACTATGTGGGGTTTTCACTCTTCCTGTTGCATTTCCTATAGAAATAGCCCAATATGTTCCACTTATAAAATACCAATACTGGCCCTCTAGCATAAGGATAGTGTTATTAGTCCTTCATCTAACAGCCCCCCCCCCCCTTTTGGTTTTTCAGGAAATGTAGAGATTAGCCTATAGCTTCAGCTGTTTTTATCTCTGGATGTATTGATCCTAGGTTGGCATGTTAGTTTTTATTAAAAGTATGTTTTGTTATGTATGTTTACTAAGGCTAGAAAATTCTTTTTTCTAAACATGAATCGTTTCTCTATTTTTATTTTCTCCAAGCTTCATTGTTTTAAACTTTAATGTAAGGTGTATGTTGAAGTATTATACAATTCATTATCTTATTTTAGAGAATGATGGGAAAGGAGTGCCAGAATTTGATGTTGAAGCCGATTGTACTTATTTCTTTTCTTGGGAGACCAAATATGCTTGTCCTAAGAAGAAAGAAGACCTGTGTCATGTTGAAAGCAAGAAAAATCATTACAACCTGTTTGATTTAATTCGCAATCCTGGTAAGTATCACCTCTCCCAGATGTCTTTTAAAGTAAATCTGCAATAACACACATAGGCTGTCATTGCTGAACTCTTTTTCTAGAAATTCTCAACAAGTTTACTTGGCTTTGAAAGAAAAGCTTCATTAGAAGTGAAATTGTCCTTTAACCTTCCTAGCGGTAATGCCGAGTGTGACTCGAGGTTAATTTCAGTACCAAAAGCGGTAACTCTGAGCAACAGTCGAGATTACACTGCAGCGATCCCTCGAGCCTTATCTTGTCCCACGATCCCGCGATGTCCTCCCACTGTGTCCCCCAGCCATGTCTGCCGGCTCATGCTGGCATCCGTTTTCTGGGTTCCGTTTCCTGCGAGCGTCGGGACGTAAGGGGGGGCGGAACCGGCGGGATATTCAAAAAAGTAAACATTTGACATACACACAATACACTGTAATCTGTTAGTATTACATTACTGTATCAAACCATTTCCCCTAAATTTTGTCCCTAGTACTTTGTCCTGTGCCCTGCCTGCACTTTTACCGTTCTTTCTGCCTGGAAACTGAGAAAAACCATGGCATCCAAAAAGTGTCCCTTTAGGTCAAAAGCTGTTTAGAGCAGCTAGAGAACCGTGATAGTGAATTAGAATCACTTGCAGAATTGAGTGATAATGATTCGTGGGGAAATTCATCATCAGACACTGAAAATGATTTTGCGAACTTGGCGCTCTATATCAAATTTCAGTGTTTTTGGTTTGATTACATTATTGAATTAAATTTATGATTATAATATTTTTTTATAATTATATTATTTATTATTTCGTGTTTCAAACTTTATCATACCCGGGATGTTTACTAGACTCTTGCTTGGACAGATTTAAGTGAGTTATTCCTAAGAATTACAGGCCTACAATATAAAACAACAAATTTCCATGCAAAAAAATGTACCGCTTTGACATTCAAAAATATTGATTAGCTAGACCGCCAGTGAGGTTAAAGTCCCTCCAACCTCCGTGTAACCTGCATAGTACGTGACTTATATTTTGCCCTGCTCTAGAAATTTTCACTGTGCAGCTCTCTGTATGCAGAAATTAAATAAAGTTTTATTAAGCTAAGTCCCAACTATGTCCTGAGCCTACTGCTCATACTCACCACTTACTGTACTTCTTCCTATGGCTGAAGCCATATTCCTCTGCATGGCAGGGATGAGTAGGCCATAAAAATTGAGACACACAGAACAAAGGGAAAAGTGCCTCTAAGTGCATACTGTATAAAACCTTTCTATTAAAAATAAAGGTGCCAAATAGCAACTCGCATAGCAAAGCAGGTAATGGGCTTATCAAATAGAAGTCCAGGACACTGTACTTAGTAAGCTGCTGAAGAGCCATCAGGGTCCACTGCCACTTCATAGAGTGTTTGGGGAAGTCAGCCAGACACATCCAAGATGGTGCTAGAGCGAACGCCTGATGCATTAGCGAGATGACATAACTGGAGTTTGAGCAATGCGTTTCAGAACATGTGCAGTACAGTCACACTTTGCTACAATGTAAAGTAGTGAGTGTACAGCTTGTATAACAGTGTAAATTTGCTGTCCCCTCAAAATAATTCAACACTCAGCCATTAATGTCTAAACCGCTGGCAACAAAAGTGAGTACACCCCTAAGTGAAAATGTCCAAATTGGGCCCAAAAGTGTCAATATTTTGTGTGGCCACCATTATTTTCCAGCACTGCCTTAACCCTGGATAATATATTTACAAAAATGTGACGAGTGCACTCACTTCTGTGAGATACTGTATTTGCCATGCGGATCGAAGCTCAGGTTTCACAGCTAATTGATACAGTAGCTGTTCATGTCAGGTTGACATCAGGTTCAGGACAGAATTTGCTCAGGATCGTATCCTGTTCACACATATGCAGTTTAGGAACGGTTCACATAGAAGTCAATAACCTGTAATCGGCGCATGAACCTGAAGCCAGTGCTCAGAAATCGGACAGGACTCCTTTTAAAATAACACTGAATCTGCACTTGCCGTGCATCGGACATTTGTGAACAGACACCATAGGAAGCAATGCTATTTCACATTGGATGCGGTTCAAACCACATCCAATCCGCATATATGTGAACGGGCACTTAATAGCACAAAGGAATGTATAATGTTAGTCCTTTAAAAACAACTGTAAGGTGAGCATCACTGAAATAATTAGAATATTTTCACTGAAAATAATCTGCTAAATTTCCTTTCATTTGTGAATTCTTTCAGAGTCCAGCACAGCTCAGAATTGGGAGGCTTTGAACACTAACCCGGATGATAAGAATCGTTTCTACATTAATGTGTGCCATGAGGTCTTGCAGAGAGGAGGTGCTATGGGCTGTGAGGAGGATGCTGCAATTTGTGCAGTGGGTAAGAATTAGGAATTGTAATACTAGATGCCAACTATGTGTTTATTTTTTGGATATTATACTTCATTTCATATTATTTCCTTACAGATTCCGACAAAAAGAAAAATTTAGGGAAGTTTTTGTCCCCTCCAAAGTTGGTTGGTGACCACATTGTCCTTGAATACACAGAGGGTTCAGAATGTGGAGAAAAAAAGAGAATTCAAACCAATGTCACACTTATATGCAGCCCAGGTATCTTGTATCCTCCTTTTTTTTTTTTTTTTTTTTTTTTTTTTTTTTTTTTTTGTATTGTATCTCAATAATATATAACCAGTAAAGACTGAAGGGAAAGAGAAGTCTTTTAGGTATTTTTTTAGTTACTGTTAAAATTGATTTAAAGCAGCTCACCAGTGTTTTAAAAACCTTCTTTTTTTATAATGTATATTTGAGATTATTTATTGGCACAGTGACAGCCATATTTCTTCATTAAATATGCAGCTGTTCTTCCTACTTTGCAGTTATAAAATGGTTGTATGTTGCTGCTTCTTCTCCAAAATGCTTCTGATTATGCACAACTTATCTAATCAAAACTGTTTTTCCATGGTCAAGTCTTTTTTTTTTTTTTTTTTTTTTTTTGACAACCTATACTATTTATCTCCCAACCATCCTGATTGCAGCCCACCTCCCTTTCCAGTTTTCTTCACCTTGTGGTTCTCTAGAGCAGCATCTGGGTCCTCTATACTGTGCTTGTGTCCCATGACCCCATTCATTCCTACGTACATATGTCACTGCATGTCTGAAGGCCACCATAAGTACTGCTCACAAATGGAAATAAATGGGGCTATAGCACACATGCTTAGTAACAGGAGGACCTGCACTGGATGTTTTCTTTGCTAAGGCTGTTTGCCATCAAGCTGAGCTTCACAATTAAAATCACTGAAATGGGTGGGAAAAGGAGGTATTTTACTAGGTTTACTGTTAAACCAAACTGGTATCCAGACCATTGAAATGCCAGTTGCTGCCTCTGTGATAATTGGACCTAAAATCAAATTTTCTTTTTTTAGGTATTTATTTTTACATTTTGGATAGAATGTGGGAAGAGTTAGTCCTCATGCACAGTGGATGTTTTTACAGCTGCTGTTTTTGGCTTTTGACGGGTTTTTTTTTCTATAGCCAGTAAACCCCCCAGCCTGTTATCCTATGTGTCCATGCACACAGACTGTAATCAACGTTTTTTGGCTAGAAAAAAAGACAGGACTAGTGGGTTTCTAGAGGAGTTTTTTAAGCTGTAAAATCGCTCTAATGCTGAAAAACACGATAAATCGTGGCAAACCAGCATTTTTGGACTTTTTTTGACAAAAAAACCTCCTAAAAAATGCAAACACGGCAAAACACCAATACAAAAAATACTAAAAAACTCACGTTTTTAATGTGACTTTACACAGCTAACATTACCAGTGCATGGAGCCCAAGAACCTCTGTCAGGATTGTATTGTCCATTCATGCAGAAAGTGATGAGTAATCTAAAGTTTTGAGTTCACACAGGAACAGGATGTAAGCAAAAAATCTTCCAGTGGGGGTAAACATGTTCAGGTGACAAATATCTAAAAAGGGGTATCCCATTGATTTTGAGATCTCCTCTCACTTCCTTCTGTGCTTCTGGGACAGCATTGAGAAAGGAAATCTTCCTTATTGGATACGGATTGACATTGCAGGTCTTGGATATTAAGGTGATTGTAGCTGTATTAGTGCACTAGTGACAGAAACCATTGAGTACCGTCCGTGATACTTTTTTTTTAGTTGCACTAACATACAATTATTCAGGACAAGTTTTGGGGTGTACTCCATTCTTCAAGGTCCGAGCAGTAGTATGGCTATTCATGTGTGGGATGTCAACATAGTGGGCCACATATGTGTGTGTGTGTGTGTATATGTATATATATATATATGTATGTGTGTGTATATATATATATATATATATATATTATATATATATATATATATATGTGTTTGTGTGTATGTGTGCGTATATGTATTATACAGTATTTATAAAGCGCCAATAGTTCGCTCAGCGCTGTACATTACAGTGAGGGGGACAGAACATGTGACAGAACAATACCAATACAATGCAAAATGAGGGGATCGAGGGCCCTGCTTTTTCGAGCTTACAATCTAGGAGGGAGGGGATAGTGGTACAGGAGGAGATAGCTGTGGGGATGGAGTGGTAGGAAGAGTGGAGGAGGTCGGCAAGTTAGCAGGGGTGGGTGTAGGCTTCCCTGAAGAGATGGGTTTTCAGGGAGCGCCTAAAGGAGAGAAGAGTAGGTGATAATCTGATGGGTTGGGGCAGGGAGTTCCAGAGGATGGGTGACACCCTGGAGAAGTCCTGGAGGCGGGGAATGGGAGGAGACCAGGGAACTAGAGAGAAGGAGGTCTTGTGAGGAGCGGAGTGTGTGTGCTGGGCGGTACTTGGATATTAGGTCGGTGATGTAGTTCGGGGCAGTATGGTGGACAGCTTTGTACGTCAGTGTTAGGATTTTGAATTTGATCCGTTGCGCAATCGGAAGCCAGTGGAGGGATTGGCAAAGGGGGGTGGTGGAGACAGAGCAGTTGGAAAGGTGAATGAGTCTGGCAGCTGTATTCAGGATCGACTGAAGCAGGGATAGCCAGCGGCGAGACAGGCCAGTGAGGAGGGAGTTGCAGTAGTCGAGTCGTGATATGATGAGGGAGTGGATGAGCTGTTTAATGTTTTCTGGGGTTAGGAACGTGCGTATTTGGCGATGTTGCGGAGGTGGAGTCTGCACGAGTTTGTTAAAGATTGGACTTGGGGCTGGAAGGATAGGTTGGAGTCAAGAATGACACCAAGTACTCTGGCCTGTGGGGCGGGTTTGATGGTGGCGTTGTTGGATGTGATGGAGAAGTCAGTGGGGGGTGGTGTCCGGGCTATATATAATATACACGTGCAAATGTGAAATTTGAATTCTTTGGCAAGAACAAAAAACCTTGTTGCAGATTTATATTAAGCCTGCGTATGTAGAATTTACACTGTATTGTTATTGGTAATTGTGAGACATTTTTTGCATTTCTTATGTACACTTTTAGTATCTGGTATTATACCTGAATTTTTGTATTCTTGGTGATGGCCTCATGCACATTTGAATGTTTTACCATCTCTCCTAGACCCCTTTTCACCTGGCAACAGCAGGTGAAAAAATGCTCAACACATGTAAACATGTGTAACGCATTTAGGCACGTCAAGCACTTGGGACAGTAATCCATTTCAGTGGCCAGAATAATAATTTACCCTGACCATTGAAATTAACTCTCAGGTTCTAAACATGTCCAGCATTAACGCCACTGCTCTTGTATGCGCTGGCAGTGTTTGTTTTCTTCTGCTTCTAAACTCCTCTAAATGCTTATGTGTGCATAGTCATACCCCTAAAAGCAACATTAAAAAAATGTCCAGCGTATGTGAAGCCTAAATGCAGTATATGAGCTAACAGTGAGTGTTATATTTTAAACCCCTTAACACATGTGCTCGAAGGTTCTGATTTACCGTTTTTGCTATGATCAGCTTCTTTTCTGACAAGTGAAGATCTTATGTATGAAAGGAGAAAAGTTGCTCAAACCAACAAGAAACATATTTGTCTGGTACAGACCTCATTGTTTCTACATTGGCTCTTTGTACTAATGATAAGTCTGTGGTTGGATAATGTGAGCTGGCCTGGTGGCTACCTAGTGTCTGTAAGCATTTTTGACCCTTATTGATTATAAGACGTCATGCACATGGGCTTACCAAAATGAGCAGCATTTTTTTTCTGCCAGCATTTTTTTTTTTCTAAACACCACTAATATTATGCATCTGTGAGCATGGCCACATAGGCTAACATTGCGGTGCTTTTACAAGCATTAAAACACTGAATACCTGTGTAAGTGTTTTCTTTTAACCTCCCATGTGCAAGAGGCCTAAAGTTAAGAAATTGCTTTTATATCACATCTCTTAACTTCAGCGTGTGTTATTTTCAGGAAACCTTGAAAGTCCCCCTATACTGAAGCATTCAGATGACTGCCTGTATGAGTTTGAGTGGAACACTGCTGCAGCCTGTGTCCTGTCCAAAACAGAAGGAGATAATTGTAGAGTGTCTGATTCTCATGCTGGTAAGTTTATTCAACAGCAGTTCCTTGTTTTCTCTGCAAGCATTACCTTAAGCAACTTGCAAAAGTGTTGAAACGTCTTCATCGTAGTTCACGTCCATTTGAATGTGATTTAACTGCTACACTAGCTTAGCCTAAAGCTCCACCTTCTGGAGCATAAAGTATAATACAGCATATTAATAAATCCTACTTCAGATGTAAAAAGTATATTTAAAAGGCTTTTTATGGTTAGGGCACTGTGTAAGTTGTTGGTGCTATATAAAAACTTGTTATAAATTAATAAAACCTTAAAAACAAAAAACAAACAAACCCTAAAACCAATAGATGAAGCCTAAAGATCATAAATCTACCTGAAACCACCAGATCAGCTGCAACCCCACCTCTCTCTGTCAATCTCGAGCTCTCTCTTGATCGATCGATCAATATCTCTCTCGAAAATACTTATGTCTAGGGGGGAGATGAAGAGGCTGCTTTGCTTCCCTTTCCCCCGCTCTGGTGCTGTCTTCCTCTTTCTCTAGTGCTCCAGACTGTGAGTGGTCTCTTGGCATAATCGCATTCAATGTAAGGCTGTTAACCCTGCATTATACATGTGGAAAGCAGGAGAGTGACTGCATCCAGAAGTACCTTAGGAGGGTGGCTTTAACAGTCAGGCCACCCTGGTGTATCGAGGAATAAGGTTAAGTCTTACGCTTTATTCCTTTACCCCTAGGGAATGACCATTTACCCTTGCAGTGTGGAGGTGACCCCCTGCAAGGGTAGTGTTTTTTTTTTTTTCCTTTGCTCGGAGTTGGGCTTTAACTTTTGACTATTTAAACAATCTATTAATTGGCAACTTTCAATGGTATAACTTTCGACATGTATATTTTCTCTGGATACTGTTCAGAGTTGTATAGGCAAACACTGGTTGATCTTGCTTGTCTAGGTTTGCAATAGGTGAGATATCTGGCACCTCATTCCTGGAAGGTGAAAGTGTGAAGATACCTAAGGGGATATCCAAGAGAAAATGATTGTCTATAGTCGGTTACTGAGTCAGGCCAAGAGAGAAGGAAAGGGGTGAAAGGGCTAATAGTTCTCCAGGCAGTTAAATCGGCAGGAAGAAGGGAAGATGGGCGATAAGGGGAGGGGACACACACCGACAACCTTTCCAGCATGGACTCTCTTAGCCTGAACCCCCTTGGACGAGGGGTTGTCACAGATGGCCAGGGTCCATAGTCATTTTGCAGGGGAAAACTGCAAACAACAAGATTGCTATTCGCAACAAGCCATCGAGGCGGTAGCCCATCAGTCATTTATATTTTTCGGTCGTTTGGAAGTGGAGCCACCAGGTTTGTGTGAATTTAGAGGGGAAGTCACATGCACTTTTTTCTTTTTTGTAATAATTTTTATTTTTCAAAAAATATTTTAGATTTGTTGTTGCTATAATTTGGTATCTCCTAAAGTGAACATGCAAAGACAGAAGAATGGGAGCTGCCATGGCTTTACTTTTTTTTTTTTTTTTTTTTTGGAAGGGTAGGCTCTGGAGCTGTCATCTTGGGGTTGGCTTATACTAGTTAGTCCGTCAATGACCTGGAACAAGCATATAGCCATTGAAGTTTAAAAGGACTGCACTCCTTCTCCACATGCTTGTTTAAGGTCAGTGACACACTAAGCATTATAACTAGGATTAGGATGGCAGCTACCTTTTCAATACATAAGACTCAATCCACAAAGCTTTAACACAAGAGAAAAAAAAGGATCCTTATGTTAGACATGTAACAGTAATTGTCAAATCTTATTGGACTCAAATTCGTCCTGTTTACTCATCACTATAATATATGGTCTTATTGGCCAAAGGGTGTGGAACAGAGGGGGCTAGCTCTGTATTTGAGAGGGCCCCAGAACTGATGCACTTCAGTGCTAAAAATAAGCCTTTGAAAGTATTGCTATAGCCATTTTAGAAGGTTTTAGGGTTGACATGTGTACCTTTTTAAGATTTATAATATTTTGTGGGTTTTATTTATAAATTGACACCCAATGGATCCAAATGTTGGTTTGGTTACTTTAAATAGCTATATTACCTTGCCCCTTCATGATCATATAAATATCCTGCAGAATGCTCAGTTTCTGTGTTTTCTTGCTTTCTTATACATTTCAGTAAAGCTTTGACAATCAAGGTTCTGTGCGGATCTTCTAAAGTGTATATACTGCTCTTTTTCCCTTTTATCAAATCCAACAGAAACCGCAAACACTATATATGTGTGTTATACAGCCGTGGCCAGAAGTTTGAGAATGACACAAATATTGTTTTCACAAAGTCTGCTGCCTCAGTTTTTATGATGGCAATTTGCATATACCCCAGAATGTTATGAAGATTGATCTGATGACTTGCAATTAATTGCAAAGTCCCTCTTTGCCATAAAAATGAACTTAATCCCCCAAAAAACATTAACACTACATTTCAGCCCTGGCACAAAAGGACCAGCTAACATCAGGTCAGTGATTCTCTTGTTAACACAGGTGTCAGTGTTGAGGAGGACAAGGCTGGAGATCACTCTGTCATGCTGATTGAGTTAGAACAGGGGTATCCAAACTATGGCCCTCCAGCTGTTGAGTACTACAAGTCCCATCATGTCTCTGCCTCTGGGAGTCTTGCCTATGGCTGTCAGAGTCTTGCAAGGCCTCATTGGACTTGCAGTTCCTCAACACCTGGAGGGCCATAGTTTGGAGACCCCTGAGTTAGAATAACAGACTGGAAGCTTTAAAAGGAGAGTGGTGCTTGAAATCATTGTTCTTCCTCTGCTAACCATGGTTACCTGCAAGGAAACATGCAGTCATAATTGCTTTGCAGAAAACGAGATTCACAGGGAAGGATATTGCTTCTACTAAGATTGCGCCTAAATCAACCATTTATTGGATCATCAAGAACTTCGAGTGGTTCAGGTGATATGAAGAAGGCTTTGGGCCCCCAAGAAAGTCCAGCAAGCACCAGGACCATCTCCAAAGTTGATTCAGCTGCACCATCAGTGCAGAGCTTGTCAGGAATGGCAGCAGGCAGGTGTGCGTGCATCTGCATGTACAGTGATGTGAAGACTTTTGGAGGATGGCCTGGGGTCAGGAAGGGCAGGAAGGAAGCCATTTCTCTCCAGGAAAAACATCAAGGACAGACTGATATTCTGCAAAAGGTGCAGGGATTGGACTGCTTAGGATTGGGGTAAAGTCCTATTCTCTGGTGAATCCCTTTCTGATTGTTTGGGACATCCAGAAAATACCCTTGTCCAGAGAAGAAAAGGTGAGCGCTACCATCAGTCCTGTGCCATTCCAAGCGTAAAGCATCCGGAGACCACTCATGTGCGTGGTTGATTCTCAGCCAAGGGAGTGGGCTCACTCACAATTTTGCCTAAGAACACAGCCATGAATAAAGAATAGTACAAAACCATCCTCCGAGAGCAACTTCTCCCAAGCATCCAAGAACAGTTTGGTGACGAACAATGCCTTTTCCAGTATGATGGAGCACCTTGCCATAAGGCAAAAGTAAGAACTAAGTGGCTTGGGGAACAAAACATCAAAATGTTGGGTCCGTGGCCAGGAAACTCCCCAGACCTTAATCCCAATGAGAACTTGTGGTCAATCCTCCAAGAGGCGGGAGAACAAAAAACCCCCCACAAATCCTGACAAACTGCAAGCATTGATTATGCAAGAATGGGCTGCCATCAGTCAGGAGGTGGCTCAGAAGTTGATTGAAAGCATGCAAGGGCGAATTGCAGAGGTCTAGAAAAAGAAGGACCAACACTGCAAATATTTACTAAACTTAATGTCATTTTCAATAAAAGCCTTTGACACTTATGAAATGCTTGTAATCATACTGCATTATACCATAGAAACATCTGACAAAAAGATCTAAAAACACCGAAGCAGCTGACTGTGAAAATTAATATTTGTTTCATTATCACATTTTTTGGCCACGGCTGTACAGTATGTATATGGCAGCACTATGCATATGTTATACATGTGGAAATATCTGTATACAGAGACTAGTTTACTTTTTTTTTCCTATTCACTATGTTCTATTATATTTTTTTTTTTAGGTTTTTACTTTGATTTGTCCCCACTAACCAAGAAAAGTGAAAGTTACAGTATTGGCACTGACCAATATGACTTCTATATAAATGTATGCAGCAATGTAACACAAGAATCCTGTGACGCCGGCTCAGGGGCTTGTCAAGTGACAAAATCGTAAGCCGTTTTAAAATTTTCACATTTTTTACTGTGTAAACATAGTATTGGTTGCCAGTAATGTATAAATATGTTTTTTGTTTTTTTTTTTTTGGTTTTAGGAAGAGTGGTCATTGGAATATTGGTGTAGGAAGTTCCAAACTTTTATACTATGATGGAATGATCCAGCTAAGCTATACAGGAGGAACACCCTACAATGATGATAAGAAAACCCCTCGCTCATCGCTTTTTACTTTCTTGTGTGACCGAGATGCAGATATTGGTCAGCCAGAATATCAGGTATCAGGAATACCAGACATTTTAAGGCCTCGTGCACACTTGAGCTCCTAAATGCATGCTTTACATGCATTTGATTTTTTTTTTTTTTTTTTTTATCTGCCCGTAAACGCCCCTCTGTTTTAACCTACAGTTGTGCTCAAAAATTTGCATACCCTGGCAGAAGTAGTGAAATTTTGGCATTGATATTGAAAATGACTGGCTGTGCCAAAAAAACGGTTTTCTATTTAAAGATAGTGATCATATGAAGCCATTTATTATCACATGGTTGTTTGGCTCCTTTTTAAATCATGATAACAGAAATTGCCCAAAAAGTCCTGATCAAAAGTTAACATACCCTGAACTGTGAAAACCCTGGAAAAAGACAGTATCTTTTTTTTTTTTTCCCTCCAAGGATCACAATAATTCAATATTTGAACAAAAATTAGCTGCATTGTCGAGTTGCCAGAAAAAAGCCTTTACTGCGTGCCAATGCCACAAAAAAAGCCCGGTTACAATATGCCTGACAAAACCCTGACACACCTCTCCGGGCTTCTTTCTGGCATTGGTGCAGTGAAGGCTTTTTTTTTTCTGACAACTCGACCGTGCATCTCATTTTTTTTCAAATAGTGCCGTATTGTGCTCCTTGGAAAATCAAAAAAAAAAAAAAGATACTGTCATTTTCCAGACCAGCTTGGTATTTCTGCTGGCGTTACCTGTTGTTTTTTCTTTGTATCGCGATAAATTCTTGCAGTTGTGGCTGCAATCTTTCTTGGTCTACCTGACCTTGGCTTGGTATCAAGAGATCCACACATTTTTTACTTCTTAAGTGGTTGCACAGTACCGGCTGGCATATTCAAGGCTTTGGATATCTTTTTATATTCTTTTCCATCTTTATAAATTTCAATTACTTTGTTAAAGGTCATGTAAAAAAAAAAAAAAAAGTAGCTGCTGACTTTAAATATTAAGGCACTTGCTTGTCCAGGCATCCAGCGGTGTCCTCACCCAAGCCGCTTCTTAAGCCTATTTCCCACTGTATGCTGTGCTTTGTGAATGGGCTGCAGTCTTCTTGGACCTGTGAAGTGTCCCAGAAGGTTGTGGGGAAAGGAGGGGGGCTGAACTTCTTTTAAATAGGGTTGCTTAATGCAGATTACAGGCAAATGCACATTTGAAATACATAGATTTGTAACCTATCTACCAGAATATTTATAAATCTGCTCAGCTAGTCATGATCCAGGCATTACAGCCAGATCCCTGTCCCCCAGTGCAGTTAGGCAGCACAGCTTGGTAAGTGGCCTGCACCCTTCTTGTTGAAGGAACAGTGAAAGAGCAGCTGTACCTGATGAGGTAAACCCTTGCACTTTCTCATCCTGTAAGTATATTCACAGTGTTAGACTGACAGCGCTGTACAAATTATTAGAGCCTAGAGCGTGGTCTCCTCCTCCTACTTTAAATATGAACTCTTTGTAGAAGAGATGAATTATAAAACCGAGAATAAGGTGTTTTTCCAAGGTGCAATTAAAATACATAGCAGGAGTACATTATTCTTATACCTGCATAATATTCAGATATTCGAAAAAAAGGGTTTTAACTCTGTATAACTGTATAAAATATTTGTGCATTGAAATGTAACAAATCATATATGAAAAATTAGTTTAGTGTTTTGCTTTCCCTGGAATATTAGAAAGAAGACAATTACACGTATAACTTCAAGTGGTACACTAAATACGCCTGTCCAGCACAGCCCGTGGAATGTATCGTGGTGGATGACCAAACAAATGAACAATATGATTTATCCAGGTAATGGTAAAATTATATTTGTGTTGTGTTTTTTTTTTTTTTTTTTTTTTTTTATTACGTGAAGTTTATTAATGGTTAGCATGAGAAATACAGAAAAAGAAAAAAAGGCAGAACTTATTGTTGGGTTTACAATATATAAATGTTATAGATTTTACAGGTTACAAAACCGTACTGGTCGTGCAACCTGATTTGGGTATCAAACGGAAGGTAGAGAGAATGATTAAGAAGAGAATATGGAGGCAATTCAGTGGAGCATATGGTTCTGTAAAGTATCAAGGGAAACATCTCATGGGACATACCAGTGAGATTTTGTACCAAGAGGTGTACAATTGATAAATCTGGGCAAGTCCACCAGATATGGATAGATGAGCCGATACTACCACATTTTCTCCAACAGATGGGGGAATGGGTGGGAAAAAGCTGAAATAGCCTGACTGGTGTGTGATACCAATGATAAATAAGGCTTTGAGCTGATTCCCAATGAGTGAGGCATTTAGAGAATTTCAGTGGACTGCAGGCTGCTGAATACCAGGTTGTCAAATCCGCTGTGAAATTTAGAGTGCGGTCCCATTTTTCCATTGATTGTAATTTCTTTAGTGGTGTTTGAAGGCTCAGGAGCTTATAGAAGTGTGAAATTCCTTTACTTGCTGATGTGTGTTCATAAGAGCGTACAATATCAAGCAACAAATTGGAGTTCGACCATTGATTGTTTTGTAGGCTATGTCGCACCCAAAGATATTTATAGAAGTCCCGGTTTCTAATATTCTATTTGGTGTGCAAGTCTTGAAAGGTGTGTAGGTCGTCATTTCTAAAGAGGTCTCCAAGGTTGCGAGTTCCAGCTTTCTTCCAGTTAGGAAGAGCTAAATCTTTGCAAATGATTTCCATTTGGAGGGGAAATGTGCCAAGGCTTGTTTTGAAAGGCCCATGGTCTGTTGAGAGACCTCCAGACTTTCATGGGGTGTTAACTGTGCTTAAAAAGGAATGAGACAGATGGTATTGTAGCCACTTCGTGGCCAGAATTTGCTTTATTGGGTTCCTCAATGCCGCCTCTTCAATCTGCGCCCATGGTGTTTGACGAGTTTGCAGCTACCAATGTTTGGCTTTGAACAGTTAAATTGCTTTGTAGTAGGTCTTTACTTATGGTGCTCCCATTCCTACTTTTGCTGTTGGGGTACAAAGATTGGAGTGTCTCACCCTAGGATGTTTGCCATCCCATATAAAGACGTTGATAGTACGCTGGAGGATGGCCAGTTGGCTCGATAAAAATGTGATAGGTAGAGTAGGAAATAGTATAATATGTGCGGCATGAGAAATTAATGGTGTGTGACACTGCCGACTCTAAGGCCAGAAATTAATAGATGTATCCTTTATGGCTTCTGCAAGTGGTTCTATTGCGAGGGCAAATATGTGCGGAGAGAGGGGGCAGCCCTGCCGCATGCTATTAGTGATATTAAAGGGCGATGATATCATCCCTGAGGTCCAGACCCTAGCAGATGGGAAGGAATAGAGGGCGAGAACAGCTGTAGATATTGTATACATTTTTGTACTGTTATATGCTTCCTGACTATGTAGCTCATGTGGTGGCAAGAAAAGTGGGCCCAGCTGCTGCACATATGTGCCCACAGTTTGAGGTTGTGTGCTGAGAATGAGTTCGCTACACATTACCAGCCCACTGACTGAGCTGTCTCCAACAGCTCTTGATCACCGATTCTTATGCCTCCAGCTCCTGATCTTAGCGTTAATCACAGTGGTCATGTGATCAGAAAGCACCTCTGCCTCTTCGCATTAAAGCCCACGTAAAGGGCTGTCAGAAGGGGCATGAAGGCGATAAGCAGTGGTCACCTTAAAAATTAGAGGGGGCCTCAACTACGGCCCCCCCAACAATTCCAGAGGGCTGCACGATAGCAGCACATTTTTCCACCTCACTGTCCCAAAATGTTGGACCTACTGCATTTTTTTGCAGCATATTGCAATGCAGATTGAATTAGTTGAAGTACAAATAACCCCAGTCTTGATCTCTGTCAGTGCAAAAATAACCCCCAGCATTGGTGTCAGTGCAAAAACAACCCCCAGTGTTGGTGCCAGTGCAAAAACAACCCCCAGTGTTGGTGCCAGTGCAAAAACAACCCCCAGCGTTGGTACCAGTGGACGCAGTAATAACGCCCAACAAACTGCCCTGCATGTTGGTTAGTGGTAGTGAAAGTTAACCCCCCCCCCTTTGCTGGCCAGGGCAGTGAAAGTGTAAACCCTACTTCCCCTTCCCATGCCATACCCCTTACCTGTTCACATGTGCTGCTTCCCAGGCCAGGACTTCAGGCCAGGGGCTTAAAGTATATCTGAAAACCAAAGCTGATTTTTTTTTTTTTGAGTAGAGGGGGAGAGCTGACCACTTTCCGTCCATAGGATGCACCCGAACGTCCTTGAATGGGAAGGGTGATATCTCGGTCATCACTGCAGCAATGACCAAGGCATTATTCTTTACGCCTGGCGATTCTGTATGGTTTAAAAGTAATCAGAAACCAGAAGCTGCGAGGATTTTGTCACTTCCTGTTTTGGGTATTTGTTTACAGGCTATTTTTAGCATGTGAAAGCATCTGATTGAACCAATCTGGGGTCACTGGTTATTGTTATCACAAGGGATGTGTACATTCCTTGTGATAGCAAAAAAAAAGAGAGACTATGGAAAAATTAAATAAGTATATTTTTTTATAAAGCGCTCCTCTCCCACTGTGCTCGTGCACAATGGCAAATGCCTGTCAGTCCCATTCTCATACGAAAACGACAATCGTATCACACATGTGAGGTATTGTCGCGAACAGCAGAGTGAGAGCCATAGTTCTATCATGATTCCTCCTGTGTAACACTAAACTGGTGACCTGTAAAGGCTTTTAAAGCATCGCCTTTGGAAATGTTTAAGTACTGTACTTTGGCGCTGTGCCACGAGCATACTCAACTTAACCAGCTGATAGAGGTGTGTTGCAGCTGTCTTATTCCTTTTTAAAGTACATCTAAAGGCTCAATTTTGCAATTTAGACATGTCCCAAATCCTATTACTATGGGGTTGATTTACTAAAAGCATATATAGCGTGCACTTTGCAAAGTGCAGTTGCTTCAGAGCTTAGTAAATGAGGTAAAGCTTCACTTTCCAAAGAATACCCAATCACGTGCAAGGAAAATAAAAAAAAAAACTGCGTTTTTGCTCGCACATGATTGGATGAGGGAAGTCAGAGCTTCTGCTCATTTACTAAGCTCTGGAGCTACTGCAATTTTCAAAGTGCACAGTATATTTGCCTTTAGTAAATTAACCCCCATGTGTTGCACAATCCTTAAAAAGTAATCAAAAAACTTCCTTTACCTTCCCTGACTGAGCTGAATCTTCTCCATTTGACCCCTTACACTCCCCTTCCCAGACATTGTAGCTTGCTGTTGGTGGGTTTCAGCCAGAGGCTGTGCTGTCAATCCAGAAAGCAATGGGTAGGTACTGATTGACAAGCTACAGGCATGTGAATCAGCAGTCACAATGCTGCTAGCCATGTCCCCCTAAAACATTTTCTCATCCCACTGTAATGTAAGCAGGCACAGCCTATGTGAGTGGCAGCTCTGCTGTAAATTTGAGAGTAATGCAGCATTGCTGTTACCCCATTACAGGAAGCTGCATTAGGTGGACTGCACTGGCAGGCTCAGCAGGTATTTGTGATACTTTGCAGGGAGACGAAGGGAAAACCGTAAGTACAGATGTTTCCCGCACATATTTTTTAATGAGAAGCCATAGTTCTATTGTAATACAACAATGTGCCTTTTGAGTACTTAAAAGTACTTTAACTACCCCCCCCCCCACCCAGCATTTCTGTCATGGCAATCTTGAGTAAGAGGAGATGATTCATGTAGCATTTACTTCTTGGAATCCATCTGCCCTTAGCTCAAGCATGTAGGCAGGAGGGTGTTCTTTGCTAAGAAAACTCCTCCTCCCCTCGTGAAGACTCCTGGGATGTGTGATGTCATTTGCCTAGGCATGAAAACCAGGAAGTAACTGAAGAAACGTAAAAAAAAAAAAAAGTTTAAAACAAGTAAATATGATATACTTTACTAATGCTAGCTGCGTAAGGATTAAAAATAGTGTTGACTGAGAGGGTGAAGTTCTGCTTTAAAGTTCCGCCTTAAGAACTGGTCCCCTGCTCCACGTTAAGGATTGGCACCTTTGGGGGAAGGGAGTGTAACGCATACCCAAAATTGACAGGTACCCGTTCCCACTTCCGCTGCGACCACTTAGGCGATCGGAAGCAAAGGTTGTCCTCACCCCTCCCTCCCCGCAGTCTTTGGGGACATGTGACAGGTCCCAGAAGACTACAGACCCATGCAGAAAGTGCAGTTCTAGTTGTGTAGTGGGCACCCAGCTATAAAGCCACAAGCTGCCACAGCCGGGTGCCCACACAGAAGATGCCACCACCGGGAATACAGGGCGGCCGATGAAACTGGCTGTGGGGTAGGGGGGGGGGGGGGGGGGGGACACATTGTAGGATCAAGGGGCAGGTGAGTGGATGGATTTTTTAAAATTCAGCAGCTATAGTTTTTGTAGCTGCTGACTTTTATTTTTTTACATTTGCACTGCATCTCTGCTTTAAGGTGCCTATCCTGTATGCATGACATGAGTTGTGACAATATTGGTACTTCAATGCTGCCAGCACTGGCTGCCAGTCATGTAGGGGAAAGGGCAATCAGACGTTTGTAAACCTTGTACAGCTTCTCATTTATATCCTCTTATAACCTGTTGCCTGGAGAGGTCTGTGAGCACTCCCTTTGCCCCTCTTTGCTTGCATAATTGAGATTCAGGTGCATCAGTTCATGCCTGGACTTTGGACTGATCTCTGTCATATTAGACATGGTAAACCGTTTTACAAAGTCAGGAATTATTGGAATCGGCCATGGTTTAATGTCTCCGCTGCTATTATTCCCAATGGATGCTAATTTACACCACTTTATTGTACATGACCAGTATACTAGCAGCATATCATATCTAGACTAAAAAAAGTAATTTTTAATATTTACATACAAATTCTACAATTGTTTTATGTTATTGCATTGCTTATCCTTTAGGAGATGGGTAAATTTAAATTCCATTAACTGTAATTTACTATTTGTTATCCTTCTGTTTTTCTTGTAGCTTATCTAAGGTACAAGGGCTGCACACTACAAACTGGTATTCCATGGATGAAGGCCATGAGAAACGAAGAAAATATTATATTAATGTATGTCGGTCTTTGATACCTGTTATAGGGTGTGATCCCTTTACCTCAGTGTGCCAAATGGAATATACTAAAGTCTCTGTAAGTATAAATGCTCTCAGAAGGTCAAAATTTGAAACTGCACTTTGATATTTATGTGCATCTTTGTCCACAATGAATTAAAAACTGGCACCATATAGGCTAATGAAAGCAGCAGGGAGACTGAATCTGCTCATGTAGCAGAATGAAATGGAAGCTCCCCCTGCACTAAACCCAGTCTGGAGGTATTTGTTGGCTCGAGGGGGGAAAGATCACTCGCCAGTGGCGCGCACTCGCTGCTGCCGGTGATCGCTGTGTCCAGCAGACACTGGGTACGGTAAACGGCCAATCACAGTGGCCTTTTACCACGTGATCAGCTGTGTCCAATGACACAGCGATCACCGGGTAAATACAGTTGACGGTTATCGTCTGCACTTTCGTCACGCTGTCACAGCGTGAGGAAAGTACTGCCTACAACCGGCATTTGTCACCGAAGGGGTCGGTATTGATTATCAGGGCACTGATGATCAGTGCCACTCATCAGTGCCACCCACCTGCCCTGCAGTGCCACTCACTTGTGCCCATCAGCAGTGCCACCTCATCAGTGCTGCCTATCAGTGCAGCCTCATCAACGCACATCAATGAAGGAGAAAAATTACCTTTTTTTTCAAAATAGATACAGAGAAAAACTTTTTTTTTTCCCAATTTTTTTGTCTTTTGTTATAATAAAAAATAAAACACCCAGCGGAGATTAAATACCACCAAACGAAAGCTCTATTTGTGTGAAAAAAGTGATAAAAATTTCATATGGGTACAGTGTTGCATGACCGCGCAATTGTCATTCAAAGTGTGACAGCGCTGAAAGCTGAAAATTGGCCTGGGCAGGAAGGGGATATAAGTGCCCTGTAGGCAAGTGGTTAAAAAGAAATTTGTCATCTCTGCTCAGTTTGCTCTGTTTTATAGAATGTTTGTTTAATACAGGGCTGTTTAAGTGGCAATGGGTACTTTTAAAGGGCAGAGCTTCCTTCGGAAGTGCCCAGTTAGGGGAACATAATGATGGGGCAGCAGGAGTGGAAGGTGGTTCAAAATTTGCATCAGACCCAATATTTCTTTTGCTACAAAATTGCATGGTACCACAAAACTTTTGATGTTTTTTTACTGGACATTAGTGTAATATTCTAAACTGATTTGCTTATCGTTATATTAAGTCTGTGCCCTGGAGTCCGTTTAATGGACCTTACTATGGTAGTTGGCTTTAGCTATTACAAGATTGCTGAATTGCTTCTCAGTTCATTGCAGGCTAGCATTCAAGTTTTCTGATTGTTTTTCTGGTATGTGCTCTGCATGCATACTATTTTTGATTTTGGTTTATGCATTAAACTGCTGGACTCATGATGATTGCTGGTTAGATTTGAACCAGGTAAATTCATCCTCTTCTATTTGTTTCCCAAAACCAAAAATCGCCAGATGTTCAAGAAAAAGCGTTCCCCTTTCGGGTGTACACTCGGCAAATTTCCATGCTTCCCACTCTCATGGTCGGGATATATAGCTTTGAAAAACTCCAAATACAAAGGAAGTATGCCAATATCAGTATAGCCACAATCCTCCTTGCTCCTCTCTCAAATTAAATCAGTACTTTTATAATAGAGATGAAGTGGATGTTCTACTTCAAACTGCAGGCTTCATTACCAATAAAGAACTAAAAGTGGCCATACAAGGCTTGCATTTTGGCCAATTCTTGCTAAATCGTCCACAATTTGAGCTTTGAGTGGCCCTGTCAGCACCCACAGTGGAGGGTCTTTAGTTCTTTATTGGTAATGAAGCCTGCAGTGTGAAGCAGAACATTCACTTCATCTCTATTATAAAAGTACTGATTTAATTTGAGAGGAGCAAGGAGGATTGTGGATATACTGATATTGGCATACTTCCTTTTTATTTGGAGTTTTTCAAAGCGGTATATGCCAACTATGAGAGTGGGAGGCATGGAAATTTGGTGAGTGTACCCCTGAAAGGGGAATGCTTTTTCTTGAACACACGGTGATTCCTGTTTTGGAAAACAATAGAAGATTATCACGTTGGAATGAATTTATGGACTTTCATTAATTAGTCACTTATTACTTTGTTTATTAGCAGCAACACTGAATCACTTAGGGTTCATTTGTTGTTTTATATGATTTATTTAACTTATGGTGGCAGCAGTCTTTATTTGGGCATATTGTATTATATTTATTTAATTTTGTATAAGTTGCATGCATCTAGCGCAAACGTTTTTTTTCACATAAATTCATCCTCTGCTCCGAAGATGAGACTGGATTTCCAAATGAGCTGATCTGCCAGTCAAAAGATGTAATGGAGAGAATACAGGGAATACAGACACATATTCTGTGATGGGGGCCTTTTACTGGGCTTACTAGATAATATGCTGTTATAGGAAATATAGATATACATTTAGCTAGAGCTATTTATTTCAGCCACTCTTACACATACATTTGTTTAAATGCTCATGTTTTCAGGATAAGATGGTTGAAAGTGTGGAGACCAGCAATCTGGGGGTGGCAAGCAAGAAGCCTGTTATAGAAAGCAGTGGCAAATTAATCCTGGAATATACAAATGGATCTGCATGTATCAATATGGAGGGAAACTCGACAACCTATTCTTCAGTAATACACCTTGTTTGCAAGAAAGGAGCTACTGTAAGTGTTTGTTTATGCAGACATGTTCATGCAGTTTGGAATCAGATTGGACGTTTATATGTGATTCTTGTGTGTATCTTTTTTTTTTTTTTGTTTATTTTGCTGTTTTTTGTTTTTGTAAGACATGTTATTAATGCATTTGTGACATTTTTAAAGTCTCCCTTATTTTTCAGGACAATCTGGCTCATGTATGAATTGCTGTTCTTTCTTCCCGTGGGAAGGATTCATACAATTCCAGTTTGTCATGACTGAGGAAAATAAAATGGTGCCATCTGACAAAGCGCCAAATGAAGGTTTAGTGAGTTGGTAGTGGAGGTTTTAAATATTTACATTTACAATATTGTACTACATACTGCATTATGTAGCTAAGGGAGTTTGCATTGGCGCGAAAGAGTGTGTCTGCTATTTCTGGGTGGTATTGTTTTTATCTCGAGTCAATCTGAAAATATTGTGCAAGTACACCTAAAGTGTAGTTGAAGTCACAGAAAAAAATATGATGTGAGATAGACTTTGAGCTAAAAAATCTTATCTTTCCTACTTTTATTTCCATATCTTAATCATACAATACAGGACGCAGGAAAGTATTCATAGACCCTGGGCTATAGACTGGTAGCTTCAGGTGATTGGGCACTGGCAAAGCTTTCGAGAACATGCCTCCTGGGCGCATCCCTTATAACCCTACCCCACTCTGTGAGCCCTTATTTTTTTTGTTAGTCTCCTAAGGTGATGGACCTGTTCTCCCTTGCAAAAAAATTACTCTTAGCTTAACTAGTTCACAGCCTTCTAATACCACAAATGAGGCAGTGCAACATTGGCATTCTTGGAAGCCATACGCAAACCCCAAGCTGTGAGGATAGCCTGTAATGTTGCTTTGAGCACTGGAGACTGTACAGACGCTTACCTTGGCACTTCATGCAATGCATGTCATCTGCTGCAGGGTGCTGTACAGGTCCAGAGCCAGGGTCTCACATTGGGTAACCCAGACCATGAAGACCCCTTTGGGAGTTTTGTCCACCATACAGGCAAAGCTTGGACTACATATACAGCGTTGTGGACAGGTAAGACAAGAGTTGCCCTGTATGACCTTTACTGTACAAACCGGAGCTTTGGTGAATGACCAGGTGTTACATAACATCACACCTCCAGTCGCACTCTTTAACACCATTTTTGCCTAAAGCACCTATTAAAGTACTCAGATGCTCCCTTCTGCCCTTTTGCCACAAGGAACTTTGCTACAGGATGGGTTACACTTGGTTGCTGTGTATTCCTTCTGGAAATGATTACCCTGTATTCTGTACCCTACTCTGTAAGTGCCCCACAGTGGAATACCACCATTTGTAGCTATGGTAGGAACGGGGGGGAAAAGAAGCCATGGCTAAACTCAAGTGGACAATCGCAAAGCAGGATCCGATTTTAGCACTATTCTGTGCATCTGACCCTATTTCTATTTCAGGCATGCAATAAATGGCCTACCAGGCAAAAGCAGAATCTTTGTCACAATTCTTCAGACAACTAAGGGCTTTAATACGGCCATCTTAGTTACTGCTTCTCCTGTTTCTCCATCTTTACGCAAGTCAAATCCAGATATGTCTGCCCTAAACGAGGCTGCCACAGATAGAAATGTGGAGGATATAGAAGCAGGTTAGAGGAGGGGGCGGAAGATTTTCTCCTCTACACTATTTTAATCCTATAGTGGGAGCTTCATGCAACATACAGTCAGGTCCATAAATATTGGGACATCGACACAATTCTAACATTTTTGGCTCTATACACCACCACAATGGATTTGAAATGAAACAAACAAGATGTGCTTTAACTGCAGACTGTCAGCTTTAATTTGAGGGTATTTACATCCAGAGCAGGTGAACGGTGTAGGAATTACAACAGTTTGCATATGTGCCTCCCACTTGGTAAGGGACCAAAAGTAATGGGACAATTGGCTTCTCAGCTGTTCTATGGCCAGGTGTGTGTTATTCCCTCATTATCCCAATTACAATGAGCAGATAAAAGGTCCAGAGTTCATTTCAAGTGTGCTATTTGCATTTGGAATCTGTTGCTGTCAACTCTCAAGATGAGATCCAAAGAGCTCTCACTATCAGTGAAGCAAGCCATCATTAGGCTGAAAAAACAAAACAAACCCATCAGAGAGATAGCAAAAACATTAGGTGTGGCCAAAACAACTGTTTGGAACATTCCTAAAAAGAAGGAATACACCAGTGAGCTCAGCAACACCAAAAGACCCGGAAGACCACAGAAAACAACTGTGGTGGATGACCGAAGAATTCTTTCCCTGGTGAAGAAAACACCCTTCACAACAGTTGGCCAGATCAAGAACACTCTCCAGGAGGTAGGTGTATGTGTGTCAAAGTCAACAATCAAGAGAAGACTTCACCAGAGTGAATACAGGGTTCACCACAAGATGTAAACCATTGGTGAGCCTCAAAAACAGGAAGGCCAGATTAGAGTTTGCCAAATGACATCTAAAAAAGCCTTCACAGTTCTGGAACAACATCCTATGGACAGATGAGACCAAGATCAACTTGAACCAGAGTGATGGGAAGAGAAGAGTATGGAGAAGGAAAGGAACTGCTCATGATCCTAAGCATACCACCTCATCAGTGAAGCATGGTGGTGGTAGTGTCATGGCGTGGGCATGTATGGCTGCCAGTGGAACTGGTTCTCTTGTATTTATTGATGATGTGACTGCTGACAAAAGCAGCAGGATGAATTCTGAAGTGTTTCGGACAATATTATCTGCTCATATTCAGCCAAATGCTTCAGAACTCATTGGATGCCGCTTCACAGTGCAGATGGACAATGACCCAAAGCATACTGCAAAAGCAACCAAAGAGTTTTTTAAGGGAAAGAAGTGGAATGTTATGCAATGGCCAAGTCAATCACCTGACCTGAATCCGATTGAGCATGTATTTCACTTGCTGAAGACAAAACTGAAGGGAAAATGCCCCAAGAACAAGCAGGAACTGAAGACAGTTGCAGTAGAGGCCTGGCAGAGCATCACCAGGGATGAAACCCAGCGTCTGGTGATGTCTATGCGTTCCAGACTTCAGGCTGTAATTGACTGCAAAGGATTTGCAACCAAGTATTAAAAAGTGAAAGTTTGATTTATGATTATTATTCTGTCCCATTACTTTTGGTCCCGTACCAAGCGGGAAGCACATATGCAAACTGTTGTAATTCCTACACCGTTCACCTGATTTGGATGTAAATACCCTCAAATTAAAGCTGACAGTATGCAGTTAAAGCACATATGGTTTGTTTCATTTCAAATCCATTGTGGTGGTGTATAGAGCCAAAAATGTTAGAATTGTGTCGATGTCCCAATATTTATGGACCTGACTGTACTTTCTAATGTTGATAAGCTCACTGCTGCTGTGTGCAAAACTTTTGGCTTGGTAGAACTTGATTCTCCGCCATCCCGTCATCCCCCTCTTGGGTACAAAGGGACCTGCAAAATCCATATGGACCTTCCCTGTTCATGAACAAATAGAATGTGCAATCTGTGATGATTGGATCATTCTAGAAAATATTTTCACTCCTCCAAAACTTTTTACCTTTTACTGTTGTTGATCCTACCATCTCAGTCTTAAAAATCTTGCTGTACCATTCAAAGATTCTCCTAAATAGTTTGAGGTGCTCCTAAAAGTTCTCTTTACTCTTGCAAGCCCAGCCCTGCCACCAGCTCTAGCTGCAATTTCAGTATGTCAAAATGCAGCAAACTGGACTAGGGCAATGAACAACATAAAGCACAGTTCTGGATTACAGGATTAACAGAGCAATTACAGGAGTTACCTTCTGCTTTGCTTTTTTGTGTGAATGTCCTAGAACATGTAATGACAGAAATTTCCAGAATGGCTCTAATTTCTGTTCACATTTGCAGAATTTGGTGGCTAAAACCCTGAGCAGCTGAAGCTGGTTTCCAGAAAGTTCCTTACACATTTTTGGGGAGGCACTTGACCAGTTCATCAGAGAGGTCACAGGATTGAAGTTTTTTGCTTCCACAGCAGAAGATTCTCGAACCTCCCCTTCCCAGGAGCCTATACCTCCTCAAAACACAGAGCACCTAACTACTGTTCCCAGGCTTCAACTTCAAAACCTAACTTCAGCCCTTCTTTTCAGCGCAAGACTTGGGCCACAAAGCTTTCCAAGTCTTCCCCAAAGCCCTGATCCCAATGAAGGGGCACCCTCACTTCTAAGAGTCGGGGAACATGTCTTCTGTTCAGCTTGCCCTCTCTGGGTCACAGACGTTCCAAACATGCAAATTCGTTTGGTAGTTTCAAAGAGTACTAAATAGAGTTCAAAACTCTACCCCCTTTCTTCTATCAGATCAACCAAATACTGCCCAAGAACAGTTAGATTAGCAGAATGCTCTGAACCATCTCTTGTCCCAGGGAGTACTTGGACCAGTATTCCCATTAGACCGGTTCCAATGTTTCTATTCGAACCTGTTCGCGTTACCAAAGCCCATCAGGGGTATTCCTCCTATTCTGGACATAAAATACCCTAACAAATACCTTCCAATTACAAAAATAGGCACGGAATCCACAAAATTAGTTATTGCCTCTTTGAGACCTAGGAATACCTGGTCTCTGTAGTTATCCAAATTGCCTATCTGTATATTCCCCTTCCCCTCATCAGTACTCTGTACTTTGCAGTGGCAGTCAGTCGTTTCCAGTTTGTCACACTGCCTTTTCGGCCTATCCTCTGCTCCTGGAATATTCAAAAAGGGTCCTGCTTCCAAGTCCACCATTACTCAATGGATAAGAAATCTGATCAGCTTGTGTTTATCTGTTGAATATATTACTCCGCTGCCCCTGAGGTGTCATGATACATGACTGTATTTGTCAACCTTTGCCTTTCTTTGAATAAAGAATTTAATAAGAAATTTGATTGGTAGAACTTTACACTTTCAAGGACAAACCACATTCTGGACT